CAAACGCCTATAAACCTACGGTTGTATACTTTAAGAGTCATCTCGGTAACACAGCGTGAAATATACTATATCATGTAAATACGTGTACAATCATTTCCCCTTCCTTTTTCGTTCTTGTTATCTGTTCTTTTTCTTTCGCAATTTGTGAGTATAGGCCACAACTAATCTCCACCAATAATCCGGTGTCTGTTGCTATCGAAGCTTTAATTGCGAATACATAATGCTCCGCAAGGAATCTGCAAACTAAATTGTACTGCATTTCTTTACTCTTTCGAATAACCTTTAAAGTACTTATTGATTTGAAACTGTGTGTTTCGTAAACAATGCCAAAAATATTTCATATGATTTTATTTCAATCAATTTCAACGAAAGCAGTAAAAATAATGCTTATACTATTTTCATTTAAACATGGAAATACAGAGAAGAAAAAAAACATCAACAACATCTGATACACCGAATGTTTCACTTTCTGTGTTTTTCTTCCTGTTTATAATACCAATCAGACAATCATTAAGTTTAGTAGACTTTCAGACTACATTTTGAACTCGGCTAAAAAAGAAAACTAATTCTCAATGAGTAAAGCGGACATGAGAGTGCCAAAAGAATGACGTCTTATTTACTGATATGATAAGATAATTTCTAAAAATAGGTGTCTTTCATTTCCTTATTATTAAGCCTAACAAAAATCAAAATCATTTCTGCTCTAATTCTATGGAAAGTAAACACTCAAAAGGTTAAAGGTTAACTCAAAGGTTAAGGTGCGATGTCGAATGATAACGTGATTACGAACAAATAAACTCATTTTGTTTGTCTCTAGTAAGTTTAGGCGTTTCATTTGACACAGTCGCTAAAACTCTTTAAATTCATTACATAATACCAATTAATCACGGGAAGATTTTGTAATTCTTGTTACAGACTACTTCGTAAAAAGCAAAGTATCATTTTTTAAATGATTTCTTTATGAAAATGATTTTGATACTCCTTGTTTCCTTTCATATTTCATTTATCTTGTGAACGGCAGGTTTGAGTAACTACATTTCAATGTCAATATACCCATACATATTGCACAATGTGTTTGGTGTTTGTTCATACGATTCAGTCCTTTAAAATTATTTACGTAGTGGCCAAGTCCATGCGTTACGGATTTACATTTTCAGAGAACTTTCAAATTCAAATTAGAATGTCATAACAGTTGTAATGAAATGAACGAATTAATGATGTAATGTGTAAACTAAAATGACATGCTTTCACAACAATTATGTTTCTTATCAACCTTTCATAAAATTTATGAAATATTGTATTTTTTAATAACGTTGCTATGTATAATAACCAAAGATTTGACCTTCTATGTCATTCAGTTACAGAGTATATAAAATTCAATGTTTCGTAAGTGTGATGAATGGTTGATAGGAAACCCACATGCTGTGCAAGAACCTCATTTAAGTTAAAGATAAACTTGTAATGAGTTCTAGTAAAAAATAAAAAAAATGAATTCTCACAGAATCAAACGAAACTTACTCTGAATGTTCAAGATTACAAATAAATGTCATGTGCCAAACCATTTTTGAAGAAAAGGTATACTGGCTGAGTAATGAGCATAGACAGAGAAGGAAATCAAGGTAGGTAGCCCCGACACCATTTGTGTAGTCCCATATACATCTTTCTATGTACAGTGCTTGTTACTTTACCAAGACTAGGCCAAATTTGTTATGATTTTGATGACTCCAGAACCCACCTTTATCTTTAATATAGCATATCTTTAATTTCTAGACTTTGTAGAAAGTTTCCTGGAAAAGTCATTCCATAACGCATGTATTTGACCTGTATAAGTCAGAAGGTCATGATTATGGGGTGCTGATAATGGTATGAAGCTCTATCAAGACATGATCCAAATGTCTATGATTTTAGGATTGTTCCATGGAACTACAATGAGTTTATTTTTAGATATTATTCATACCGTGTCATTGCTCTTTTGGGGTATGAAAACAAATCCCCTGTTCATTTTGTTTTGATTTTTTTGTATTAATGTTCATCACTTTTCTTTAAAAAGGAAAGAAAACAAGAGATGCATTTTCGTTTATTCTAAACATAATTATCAACCGTTCGTTTACTTTCATAACCATGTTAAAATACTGAATTGCACAGTGAAATCGAAACTTTTGCTTAACCACTTGCTTTCAAAATCTTTCCCCGAATGTAAGGTGGAAGTATTTCATTTTTCCTGTGTTCCTCGTCAGAACCAAATAACAAGCAATGTAATTCCAGTCTTTTGCAGACATAAAATGTAGCGTTTGAGTCTATGTTATAATAATAAACCTGAACCTCTACAAGCAAACACATCAACATGAAATTTACAATACAGGAATATGAGCATTCACTCTTGTGTAGAAGTTCATCGGCCAATATTTATTTTTCATGTCTTCGCATATTTTTCATTGATTGTTGACCACCATCCCGATTCATTTTTTTGTTTAATTTTAGAAACGTCCGTATTCTCACCCTCCATGTGGAATCAATAAGCATTATACCCAAGCAACAGTTTGGAGTTTAGACCCACTCTGTAGGTCTAGTCTGCAAGCACAAACCCTGGTCAGTCGTAAAAGTGAGTCTGCACTATAAGACTACCATAGGCCATGTACTGTAGCTGCTCCTGACACAACCAGTAGGTAGCTTGGCTAGACTTCTCTCAAGGCACAATGATTTTTTGATAAAGTGTCAAATTAGGGTCTGTGCCTGCAGACTACTGTAGGTCAGGGGAAAAATTCGGCCATACTTTTTTAGCTTCATTAATTATTTAGTCAATATTTAGGTAAATATTTAGTTAAACTCTACGCACCGTAATTAGCGATATGGTTGAAAGAAAAAGAAAAAAAGTAGGCCTAGAAGGGGAGAAGAGGAAGAAAAAGAAGAAAAGGCAGAAGGAGGAGAAGGAAACAAAATTGAAGAAGAAGAAAGAAAAAGGTAGAAGAAGAAGAAGAAGAAGAAGAAGAAGAAGAAGAAGAAGAAGAAGAAGAATAAAAAGAGGAAAGAAGAATAATGAAAATGTTAAATTGTCATCATTTACCTGTTTCCCTCAACCGTTTGAATTATATACTAATTATTTAAAAACAATTGCAAAGCATTTATTATTTTTTTCTTCTCCTTTTTTCAAGTTACTCAACCCATTCTCTCCGTACTTACAGCCAAAGAAGCAACACTTCAGGTTTCTTGTACCAGTTTTAATCAATATTAGACATGGTTGGTTGTCTCCATCGTGAGATTACGACAGTTATAATACTGCTGCCTGTAGATGGCGTACCTCTATATAATAAGAGCAGATAGAGCATAGAGCTATATACTACTGACAGTAGAGAGGGAGCAAGTAGCTACAAGTAGGACAGTGGGGCTTTCAGACAAATGAACTTAATATTACAAAAGTGGGATTGCCCTGTAAATAGTACACACCCATCTCCACCCACGCGCACAAACACGCTCACACACTATTCACGTATTATCTTAATCACTTTGATAACTTGAAAAAATAGTCAGAGCCAATTTTTAAAGTTGTACTTTCAAATATATAATCTTTCATTTTAACATTACAACAAAAGTTATCATATCAGAAGAAAAATAGTATCCGGCTAACGTAAAATAGCAATATACATTTAATAATAATAATAATAATGATAATAATAAATTTATATAGCGCAGCTTTTATACAAAATATATTCAGCTGCGCTGGTTAAGAGCTCCTTTTTACTAAATTCTACAAAATAAGATCACTCAGTTGAAGAAATAAGTTTTTAAATTGGATTTAAAAACATTGAGAGATGGAGTGCTTCGTATTTCTATTGGCAAGCTATCCATAGTTTGGGGGCAGCAATAGCAAAAGCACGGTCCCCAAGAGTTACTTTAGTTTTGCCATGGGGAATCTGAAACAATAATTTATCTGTGGAACTGCGCAGGCTACGACTGTGTGATTGGACTTTGAGTTGAAGTAATTCTGTGATGTAATTAGGGGCTTACATCACAGAATTACTTCAACTCAAAGTCCAATTAGAACATGATCTTGAATGAACATGAACATGAATATTGTGACTCTTTATTCAGACAATATAATATCATCGTTAAGACACTACTTAATCATACATTTCTCGTATTAGTTACACCATAGACCTACCACCACGAATCACGATTGGTAATTACAAAGTTCTCTGGTGCAGGTCGAATTGCCCGCTATTGGGGAAATTTGTTTCTGTTTGCAAAATAATGATATGAGAAATAGAATATCGAATCTCGGAATTAACTTTTGTTTCAAAATGCTCGGTTGAAAATTGCCCCCGATGCCAGAATTTTGTTTTTTCCATTTTCTGAAATAATCATATGACGTACAAAATTATGTTAGGTTTCAACGATTAATTAAATTAAATAAGTGAAAGTTGATAACTAGAGCATGAATCTACCAATATAGAGTTGTAATCTTTGTGGTGTTTGAGTAAAAACTTAATGAAATCTAGCAAACACTATCCGATATAAATACATAAATACATCCTACAGACCTACGGTATACACGAGTCATTATTAAACAAATCGCAGGGATTGATAACCCACATTTAGAACTAATAATTCATAATGCAATCATTAATGCACACACATTGAAGGGGGAAGTATGATGTTGATATAGTACGAGTTATCTCGGATTTCGATCCATGATGCTAAAATGCAAGCGATTAGACGACTAATATTAAGTAATAGCAATAAAAACTGTATTGTTAGCGTCAGATTTTGTTTTTTGCTAACAAAATTATGATTTCCGTCTCATGATTTTGCACAAATATGATTCATAACCCTTTGTGATGAGAACTTGAGCAAGATAACAGAAAATAAGTTTTCATCACTGAGGAATGAATGCATAGAAATTGATCAGAGATTTGTTGAATACCACTTCTTGCTTTTGAATCTTTCTTCATTTAAAAAAATCCCAATATTTTTCAACGATTGTCTTAAACTTTTAATTTTTTTTTAAAAAAGACGTCGGATAACGGACCAAAACTAAAAAGGATTAAAAGACAAATTGTGATAGTTTATTCAACATGGAAAATACTAGTCGTAGTAAAGTATAATATAGGAATCGAGGTTGACATCAACCGACATGCATGGGTAACCCTAACAATTATGATGAAATATTATGCTGAATCAGTGGTACAGCTTTGGGAGCACAGGTGACATCGCCCCCTTCCCCTTCCCCTAATTGAAAAAAAGGGGATAAAGGGAGAAAAATTAATATTCCACCCAGCCCGATGACCTTGTTCTTTAAAAGTATGCATTCCGTACTGAGATCCTCGTCGTCCCCCCCCCCCTCTCTCTCTCTCTCTCTCTCTCCCTCTCTCCCTGCGGACAACATGAATTCGATCGGCACCCCTAAACGGCTTGATTCGCACTACTGATGAACGGACGTCTCCTGAAAACATGTGTGGAAGTCTTTATCGAGGAGGAGCATTGATCTTGAGTATAAAATCCCGGTATAAGATACATTTATAAAAATAGATTTAGTGTTTTAGCTTGCTGGAGGTAATCCAGGGGGTGCAGATGGTATCCTTGAACCACCCGAATGGTACGGGTACGCAACAGTGGAAACACATGCGGTTGATGATGGTAGTGGTGGTGGTGGTGGTGGTGGTGGTGGGTACGCTACGTAGGATACAGGGGGATAGGGCGCGGTGGACGGTGGATAAGGTTGGCTTGGAGGTAGGTGGAATGCCGCAGACGTTGGTGGCGAATAGAACCCTCCCGATCCCGGCATATTGAAGGACGTGAACTTCCCGATGTCTTCATACGCTGGTGGTGGAACGTCCGGTAGGCTCGAGTTTGGATCACCTATGTGGGTCAGGGCTAATTCTCTTATACTCTCTCTTGGTACGTCACCAAAGTCCTCTGTTCCTTCTCCAGCTACATCACCTGAAGGGTTTTCCGTATTTGCACCGGGTTCTGGTGAGGGAGGTTTTGAGGTGTTTTTCTTCAGGCAGCACTGATAGAAAAAGAACAATCCCACTAATGATCCAATGACGATTCCAGCTATTTCCCAACCTGAGAGGCCGTTACCTACAACAACAACAAAAAATTGAGGAAATGGATGTGACAATGATAACAAAATATTGATTACAATCGGTCTAGAGCTAGATTTGTACCATGCAGTTACTGTGATATCTCTAATCCGATTGGCAGGTTTGAAAATGCAAGACCAGTAACATGACTGTTATTTCGTAGGCTATCAAACATAATTTTTTCCGTCTGTTGTGTCCTTTTACTCTTCAGTGAGGTTTCGTCATCAATATGACACAAGATAACAAGAAAATTTCTGTGTAAAATGTTTTTGAATCATTACAAAATCACTATTTTATCAGGACTATTTCCCCTTTGAAATAGTGAAAAGGTTGTGTCTGACAACTACTCCGGTAACAGTTGCTCCGTGGTCAATATCCTGCACAAACCGATTCTAGAACCTGGACCGACCACTAATACTTTTATTTTTTGATTGAGTCTTATTTATCCAGGTGAGCCACATCATTATCAACACCGCTCTTAAAGGTAAAGACCAGTGTTTGGAAACGCCCCAATTTCAAAAAATGAAATGGAAGCTCTTATTACCAATCATGTGAAAGAGTATGTTTTGACTAAAATACATGATGATAAAAATGTTGCCGGGAAACCACGTACTAATTGATATATTTGATAAATTAGTTTATCTAATGGTGTGTGAGAGATAAACGCACGTGTCGCGCACGTGTGCGTAGTCCCATATACATCTTTCTGTGTACAATGCTTGTAACTTTACGAAGACTGGGCCAAATTTCTTATCATTTTGATGATTCCAGAACCTTGCAGTACACACCAATACTTATATGCTAGATGATCAACCTTTCCTGATCGATTCCACAACGTTTCTTTCACAATGCAATCGCATGACCATAACTGGTCTTTATTTTTAATTCCTGTGGGCCCTGCAATTATTATTACCCAAGCATTGATAGGTACCAATTTAGAGAGGGTTATATTTAGGCAAAATAAACTTGCCTAAGGATGTTTGCAACGAGTGTGTTGATCAAACCGAGAACCTCTAGCATATGAGTCGATCAAGAGCCTACACCAATTTATACCACAGTACTATCACTACTCATAACCCCCGGCCCCCACTCCGGGGTCGGAATGACCGCATGCGTGTTACCAAAATGTCCGGTAAAGTTTTCACGCACCAAAGTCCGGCTCGTACATACACAAAATTGACTTTACACACCGGACTTAGGGGCAGTTTTCAAAAGAAGGGAACACGCATATGAGTACCCTAAATAACACTGAGTGGGGGGGGGGGGGGCGGGTCATAACCCCATACCCATCTACAACTCTAATCTTAGCGACTGTCGCACACGCAGGAGCACATAATTATAGCTACATGTGAGCATCCTTACATCTACCCTCGGATAGGACGTTAAATGGAGCCAAGTGTAGAGAAGAGTCATCGTGTACCTTTGCACATTAAGAACACACTGTACTTTTCGTATAAGAGTAGGGGAAACCCTGGTGTCGTGGTCCACCTGTACACCCCGGACCAGTTGTACCGGGAGGAGAGACCCAAGCGTTATCAGTGATTCAGTTCGCTTTTCGGCTCTCAGTCGCAGGTGACGCCAATACATAATAACAAGAAGAAGAGGAACTAGAAATGCAACGATGTGCGTGCAATGACGCCATGTTTCTACGTGTCAAACGAAAGAGCTTCTCTCGGACTATCCAGAGCAATTTGTACGAAGTCTGTAGCTTCTGTAATATTGGAGATAGGTAGGGCGAAATAAAGGCCTCAACAGTGACCTTGATGGGATGGTAGTGACTATGCCTACGAAGTTTGAAAGAAATTGGGATAGGGGAAAGAACCTAGAAAGGGCTCGCAAGCACTGTGTGCAAAAACCAATGGAATTTGGTGCATGTTCGTCATTGCAATGACGACCTTCGTCATTGCCTTGTTTTCGTTCACATTCTGCCCCATTAATATACTTATCCGTGTTTTCCTTATCCTTATCGTCAGGAAATCGCATTCGTTTTGCACGTAGTGTTTGTGATTCCTAGTTAGGTGCTTTTCTCATGTCCTTTTCCTTTCAAATTTCATAGGCATAGTCTCTAACATCTCATCAAGGTCACTACATTCTTCGATTTTGGAAATCGCTCATGCATGACCGTCCAGGCGCCATTTTGTCTGTTTCTGGTCCATTTTAAGGCCTTTATATCTTCCTTCCTATCTCCACTATCCTAGATCCTACAAACTTCTAACAAATTCCTCTAGATAGTCTGAGAGATGTTCTTTCATCTGCGACGTATGACTTGACCTTCAAAATGCCATCTTCATACTCGAAATTCAAATCTAAAACCGACTCCGTCAAAAATCTCTCAAGTTCTTGAAAAATGGACCCCTAAATAAGCTAAAACTGCCATAACTTTCTCATATAGATTCCGTTTTGTATTTAAATCACACAGTATCTTTATCTCATAATTGCACATAGCCATGCCAAATTTCACGCTCCAATGGCTTTGCACAACATAAATAGCGCCCTCTAAAGTTCTGGGAATTGGCTTTCTCTTTGTGGCCGTATCTCCATAATGGCTTGGCAAACCCGTACCCTTATTTGGTATCATTAGAAAGAGGATTTCATGGTTGTTATTGTAAAAAACTCTCTTTTTTTCTATGATAATCCTATCGAAACACGTGATGTAAATATTTTTATAGGACAAAATGGCGTCTTAAATGGCCCCATTGACCAATTTCAAAAATCCGGCCAAGAGGTGCCCTGCGTATTGCAACTCGGCATGTCACTGCAAATTTTCAAGGAAAAAAAAGGACGTTTAAGGGGCGAAAAGCAGTCTGAAAAAATGACGTCAAAGCCGATACGTGTTAGATTCGGGCGGAAACTCGGCGGAATTCGTGTAGTGACCTTTGTTTAAATGCGATTTATTCACAATTTTCTGTGTGAACATATACTATACTTGGTATCATTCGAAAGGGCACTTCATTGTGGTCAGTTTGACACCATTGTTATCTTGGCGCAATGTATTGCACGCATTAAACGCGCTATTACGTAATGCATAGTAAATTCATCATTTTTGGCGGTAACTTTGCGCTGACACTTTCGAATTTTACCAAACTTGACAGACAGTTGTTACGTATATGGATACATATGTCTGCCAAGTTTCATTGATGTAGGTATAAAGATCGTCAATTTAGAGCAAGTTGAAGTTATTTCTCAATTTTCTTGAAAAAGGCGAATTTGGAGGGCATTTTTCGCAAAGTCAGTCAGTATGGCTGGAAAGGGCATAACTTTAAGTATCTAAATCCAAAAAAGGGTACGGGTCTGCCAAGCCATAATGGAGATACGGCCGCAGAAAGAAAGCCAATTCCCAGAACTTTAGAGGGCGCTATTTATGTTTTGCAAAGCCATTGGAGCGTGAAATTTGGCATGGCTATGTGCAATTATGGGATAAAGATACTGTGAGATTTAAATACAAAACGGAATTTATATGAGAAAGTTATGGCAGTTTTAGATTATTTACGGGTCAATTTTTCAAGAATTTGAGAGATTGTTGACGGAGACGGTTTCAGATTTGAATTTTGAGTACGAAGATAGTATTTTGAAGGTCAGGTTATACGTCGCAGATGAAAGAACATCTCTTAGACTATCTAGAGGAATTTGGTAGAAATGTGTAGGATCTATGATAGTGGAGATAGGAAGGAAGAAATAAAGGCCTTAAAATGGACCAGAAACGGACAAAATGGCGCCTGGACGGTTATGCATGAGTGATTTCGAAAATCGAAGATCGTAGTGACCTGGATGAGATGTTAGAGATGATGTCTACGAAATTTGAAAGGAAAAGGACATGAGGAAAGCACCTAACTAGTGATAACAAGTACTACGTGCAAAACGAATGGGAAATCCGGACGATAAGGAAAACCAGGATAAGACTAGAAATGCAATCGTATCACAACGATGTGCGTGCAATGACGCCATGTTTCTACGTGTCAAACGAGAGAGCTTCTCTCGGACTATCCAGAGCAATTTGCACGAAGTCTGTAGCTTCTGTGATATTGGAAATAGGTAGGGCGAAAGAAAGGCATCAACAGTGACCTTGATGGGATGGTACTATGCCTACGAAGTTTGAAAGAAATTGGGATAGGGGAAAGAACGTAGAAAGGGCTCGCAAGAGCTGCGTGCACAAACCAATGGGATTTGGTGCATGTTTGACATTGCAATCAAGTTCGTTCTGGGGGCCAAAAGCGTGAACCCGATATGCCCCATAGACAATGCGTGTAATGAATGGGCGGAAAACGTGCAGGATCTGTATTATGACCGGAGTTAAATTGTTTTTTCTCTCTCTCTTTACGTCTCTTTATGGGCCGTATTTGGTATCATTAGAAAGAGAATTTCATGGTTGTTATTGTAAACCACTCTCTTTTTTTCTATGATAATCCTATCGAAACACGTGATGTAAAATAGATTTATAGGACAAAATGGCGTCTTAAATGGCCCCCTTGACCAATTTCAAAAATCCGGCCAAGAGGTGCCCTGCGTATTGCAACTCGGCATGTCACTGCAAATTTTCAAGGAAAAAAAAGGACGTTTAAGGGGCGAAAAGCAGTCTGAAAAAATGACGTCATAGCCGAAACGTGCTAGGTTCGGGCGGAAACTCGGCGGAATTCGTGTAGTGACCATTGTTCAAATGCGATTTACTCACAATTTTCTGTGTGAACATATATTATACTTGATATCATCCGAAAGGGCACTTCATTGCGGTCAGTTTGACACCATTGTTAACTGCGCGCAATGTATTGCGCGCATTGAACGCGCTATTACGTAATCCATAGTAAATTCATCATTTTTGGCGATAACTTTGTGCTGACATATTCGAATTTTACCAAACTTTGTAAACAGTTGTCACGTATATGGATACATATGTCTGCCAAGTTTCATTGATGTAGGTATAACGATCGCCATTTTAGAGCAAGTTGAAGTTATTTCGGAATTTTCTTGAAAATGGCAAATTTGGAGGGCAATTTTCTCAAATTTGGTCAGTGAAAGGGTATATAATTTTGTATATGGCTGGAAAGGGCATATGTTCAAGTATCTAAATCCCAAAAAGGGTACGGGTTTGCCAAGCCATTATGGAGATACGGCCACAGAGAGAAAGCCAATTCCCAGAACTTTAGAGGGCGCTATTTATGTTGTGCAAAGCCATTGGAGCGTGAAATTTGGCATGGCTATGTGCAATTATAAGATAAAGATACTGTGAGATTTAAATACAAAACGGAATCTATATGAGAAAGTTATGGCAGTTTTAGATTATTTAGGGGTCCATTTTTCAAGAACTTGAGAGATTTTTGACGGAGACGGTTTCAGATTTGAATTTTGAGTACGAAGATGGCATTTTGAAGGGCAGGTTATGCATCGCAGATTAAAGAACATCTCTTAGACTATCTAGAGGAATTTGTTAGAAGTTTGTAGGATCTAGGATAATGGAGATAGGAAGGAAGATATAAAGGCCTTAAAATGGACCAGAAACGGACAAAATGGCGCCTGGACGGTCATGCATGAGTGATTTCCAAAATCGAAGAATGTAGTGACCTTGATGAGATGTTAGAGACTATGCCTATGAAATTTGAAAGGAAAAGGACATGAGGAAACCACTTAACTAGGAATCACAAGCACTACGTGCAAAACGAATGGGATTTCCGGACGATAAGGATAAGGAAAACTCTAAGGAGGAGAATATTAATGGGGCAGAATGTGAACGAAAACAAGGCAATGACGAAGGTCGTCATTGCAAATATTAATGGGGCAGAATGTGAACGAAAACAAGGCAATGGCGAAGGTCGTCATTGCAATAACCTTTACCATGATTAGGCGTGCACTGTATTCCAACATCTTCTGTATGATCGCAGTTGTTTGATCCCCAGTCTTGATATATACAGTAGACCAGCCGCTCCTCATTCCCGTAACACTCGACATTGTCCAGCCAGATTGGTCCTACAGCCTCTTCGTAACCCATGAGCCCGGTGGTGAAGAACCCGTGGCCGCCGAACCCCAGTTGTCGACAGACCACCTGGCTGTTCTCGTGGTCCCAGTCGTCGTCGCATACGGTCCCCCATTGGCCGTTGTGGTAAACCTCCAAGCGTCCTTCAGAAGTGGAAGGACCGTTCACCAAACGCACTGTCCCTTCAGCTGTATTGGTCATAATTATTTTTTTTTAGTTCCTTTTTATTTCTTCCTTTTTCAAGTTAATATAACATGACAAGAGATGATAATTTGACAAGATAACATAACATAACATTAACAAGCATAATCATTAATGTGAACTTAAATGGAATTACAAATTAACAAAATTATAAAGAATGATGCTTAAAGTGCTTAAGTTTATAAATTTGTTATCAAATAATTTATGGTTTAATATACATTTTCCTTTGACTCGAATGCACATGCTATTATATATTATTTCTATTGCCTTTATATGGTTCATATTTAATTCTAAATTCCTTTGTGTCCATCCATACCTCGAGTTCCTAAAGAATTGTGGCAAAGTTACCTTCAACAAACCAAGCCAATAATCGCAAGAGAATAAGAGGAAAATCAATTGCCTGGTAACTGTGAGCCCCAGGATCAAAACCGTGTCGCCCCCCCCCCCACCCCCCCCCCCCCCCCCCCCCCCCCCCTCCGTGGATCCGCGCCTGGGCCCATCATCTGAACATATTCCGCATTTCTACTAAGACTATTATTGAATTTCCCATAGTATGTTTTATTCTTTTCCCTTTTGTTGTCAGTTTTATCGTATATAGACTAGATATTGCAGAGTGATGCGGTGATAAAGATCACATTTAATAACCATACCTTCAAATTCTTGATATATCCAATCATCTAATCTACTTTGCATGAATGGATTATATTTTGTAAATGTACACTGTTGGTCATAAAGGTGGAATAATCTTTTTTACCCCAATTTATAGAATGATTTATTCCTAATAGATCTAGATAATAGTTTACATTCTCAGATTTTATTGAGTAATAATTAAAGAGTGTTTGTTTTGCGTGACTGCTAAAGCATATGTATGCTACTATACTTATCAACTAGGGGACCTACGCCCTTAAGTCATAAATGACAGTATGCCTCACAAAATGGCACTAATGTAACATATCGACACGATTTTGATCCTGGGGGCTTCACAGTTCAGGCACATAGCCACGGGGGGCACGGGGGGCACGTGCCCCCTAAAATTTCCAAGATCGGTTGAATTTTTTTAGACCCCTTTTTTTTTACCTCGATCGATTACATGTATGTGCCCCCCCCCCCCCCAAAAAAAAAAAAACATCGAACTCTGGCTACGTGCCAGTCACAGTTACGAGGCAATTGCTTTGCCACTGAATCATGACTGTACGCAGCGAGGGCTAGGGTAGGAGGCAGCACCCACAAATGAAAAAAAAACCAAAGAAAATGTAATAAATTATCAATAATTCATTGCATTTTCCCCCGGTCCCCAATAGAAAAGAATCCTCTGTTTGTCCATGCCGTAAACCATAACGCATGGCCGTTCAGAGGAATTTTTCATGTGTCCTCTGTGTCCATCAATTTATCACGAATTCACATTGTACGCACGTGGAGCGCGTGTAGTAATTAAAGCTGTGCTTACATGCAGGTTAATTAAGCTACTGTCTCTGAAATGTGTGGTAATGGCGTGTTCTCACACCACATGGTGACGTGGAATTGGAATATCACCATGCCTCCATTCCACAGTTTGATTGCAATCTACATTAATTTTGTATCTAAGAAATGACGTGTGGTATAAAACTGTGATTCTGTTCTACACTGTGACACACTGAGCTTATATACACACATCAAGGCTAGAGTGCCACCACACTCCACAATGTGATGTAAATTAAGTTACACACATGGGAAATTTCAGATGACATATTCACGGAAGCGGGATCTATGGTCATACAATGAGAGTCTTAGTAGTTTGTTGTTCTTATCAACTTACCGGCATGAAGTGCGCACGTAACTCCGGCATCATCTGAATGACCACAGTTTGTGATTCCCCAGCCGCCATTTGAACATTCTGGCAATGTCAGCTCTCCTCCGTAACACTGAATGTCATCAAGCCAGATTCTGCCGTACCCTTGTCCAAATTCAGATGCACCATACACCTGTTCGACTCCAGCGTAACCCAGCTGTCGACAAGCAACCGCACCATCGTTCAAATCCCAGCCATCGTCACATATAGTACCCCACTCACCCGAGTGGTAGATCTCAATCCGACCCTCATTTGCTGTTCCACCGTTTATGAGTCTTATGGATCCCTCTGATTCTATATAAATATAAGGACATTTAAACTCATATCATGTTAAAAATAAAGACCAGTTCTGGTCATGCGATTGCATTGTGAAAGAAACGTTGTGGAATCGATCAGAAAAGGTTGATCATCTAGCATATACGTATTGGTGTGTACTGCAAGGTTCTGGAATCCTCGAAAATGATAAGAAACTTGGCCCAGTCTTGGTAAAGTGACAAGCACTGTACACAGAAAGATGTGCTTGACACGTGCGTTATATCTATCAGGTCCAAATAGATATAATAATTTACCAAATATATCAATTAGTAGGCGGTTTCTCAGCAAAATTTGTATGATCACGTATTAGTCAAAACATATTCTTTCACATGATTGGTAATAAGAGCTTCAATTTCATTTTTTGAGAGGGGGGCGTTTCCAAAACTGGTATTTACCTTTAAGCATCACATAGTTAACAAAAATTATAAGTGAGGCACACATGGAAAATTTCAGATGATATATTCATGGAAGCAGCATCATGCAATATAATGAGAGACTTCAAAGTTTGTTGTTCATTTCAACTTACCGGCATCATCAAGTGAGCACGTTACTCCGGCATCCTCTGAATGACCACAGTTGTGTCTTCCCCAGCCAGTGTTTGAGCATTGAGTCAGTAGGGCCTCTGTGCCACTACACTGAACGTCATCCAGCCAGATACTTCCATACCCTTCTCCAAAATAGGAAGAGCTGTAAACCTGGTCGACTCCAGAGTAACCCAGCTGTCGGCAAGCGACCGCGCCATCATTCAAATCCCAGCCATCATCACATATAGTGCCCCACTCCCCCGAGTGGTAGATCTCAATCCGCCCCTCATTTGCTGCTCCACCGTTAATGAGTCTTATGGATCCCTCTGGTTCTATATAAATATAAGGACATTTAAATTCATATCATGTTAAGCATCACAAAGTTACAAAAAATTATAAGTGAGGCACACATGGAAAATTTCAGATGATATATTCATTGAAGCAGCATCTATGGTCATATGATGAGAGACTTCAAAGTTTGTTGTTCATTTCAACTTACCGGCATCATCAAGTGAGCACGTTACTCCGGCATCCTCTGAATGACCACAGTTGTGTCTTCCCCAGCCAGTGTTTGAGCATTGAGTCAGTAGGGCCTCTGTGCCACTGCACTGCACGTCATCCAGCCAGATACTTCCATACCCTTCTTCAAAATAGGAAGAGCTGTAAACCTGGTCGACTCCAGAGTAACCCAGTTGTCGGCAAGCGACCGCGCCATCATTCAAATCCCAGCCATCATCACATATAGTACCCCACTCACCCGAGTGGTAGATCTCAATCCGCCCCTCATTTGCTGCTCCACCGTTAATGAGTCTTATGGATCCCTCTGGTTCTATATATATATAAGGACATTTAAATCCATATCATGTTAAGCATCACATAGTTACAAAAAATTATAAGTGAGGCACACATGGCAAATTTCAGATGATATATTCATTGAAGCAGCATCTATGGTCATATGAATTGTTGTTCATTTCAACTTACCGGCATCATTAGGTAAGCACGTTACTCCGGCATCCTCTGAATGACCACAGTTGTGTATTCCCCAGCCAGTGTTTGAGCATTGAGTCAGTAGGGCCTCCGTGCCACTGCACTGAACGTCATCCAGCCAGATACTTCCATACCCTTCTCCAAAATAGGAAGAGCTGTAAACCTGGTCGACTCCAGAGTAACCCAGCTGTCGGCAAGCGACCGCGCCATCATTCAAATCCCAGCCATCGTCACATATAGTACCCCACTCCCCGGAGTGGTAGATCTCAATCCGCCCCTCATTTGCTTTTCCGCCATTTACGAGTCTTACGGATCCCTCTGATTGTAAAAGACATTAAAATTCAAATCATGTTAAGAATCACAGAGATAAGCACACTCAAAAAGTTCACAATGTGGACAAAACCGTGTATTTGATGTCTTCCAACTCCAAGTCGAATACAACTCTAATCTTCCACTATGGAAAGGTTCACTCTTATTTTGTATCGTGTTTTTTTAATATAATATAATAATAATATTCCGCTTTTATATAGCGCCTAATGCATCGGTACAACGATATGTCTAAGCGCTTTACAGGTGTTTTTCGTTTGTCACGTCCACATAGACGCGACGTCAAAGATATAACGTCATTTCGGCGATTTGCGTCGGGTCGTCTCTCGTCGTCAGGCCAAATTTGAGAACGCGTTCATCCACGATTTGAGGTCAGCGGACTCAGGCTTACTCGCACACAATTTTTGCACATTCTTCACTCCCTGGGAAGCATTCCGGCCAGTCGCCATTTTACAAGCGCACACTTGCTCATCCAACCACATTAACTTTCGCATCCTACCTATTTAACACCTGGTGGAGAGTGGCAAATGTAGATTAACGTCTTACCAAGGACATTAGGCGGGGCTCGAACCCCGTACCTTGTGATCTGCAGTCGGGTGACTTATCCACTAGACCACAACACCTCTACTATTCAAGTCTTCTATTCAAGTCAATTTCAAATTCATTCATTGCAATATTACTCATAAAAATATTAAACAATTTAATGATGCAATTCACATTTGGGGAAACATACATTGAAGATAATTATGATAAAAGTCATTAAAATATCAAACAAACTTCATACGCACTAAATGAAAATGACTGTGCATAGAATATTATCATAATTCTAATTGGAGTATATGGAGGATTGCTAAAGGTCCAAGATCGAGGGAGAAAATATATATCAATAACAACAATTATGTAACTTCACGACAAATCAAATCAAAAGAATGAAGTGATAAAACAAAACTATATAATATGAAGACATACACTTTCCAACGTGATAATTTAGGGTTAGTACAAATGGTCATACAGGTACATTACTTTGTGATTCAAATAATTATGTGGAAGGCGTTTTAAATTTTCGTTTGTAAAGTGATAGAGTATAGGCTTTTCTTGAATTATCATTGGGAATATTATTCCAGCATTTTTGTTCCAATAAGATAAAGAGTTGACCAAGATGATATTATCGAAGTAATAGCAAGATTAATTGTTTGTTTGTACTGTTGTTGTCTCATCATCATCGTCATCACCATTACTATTAAACCGACTCGACATTACAAATGGCTCAGTGGCGTCATGGTATGATGATGATGATGAAAATAAAACTGCTTGTGCTACTACAAAATTACTACGCCTACTATTACTACTACTACTACTAATGATATTCATAAAAGTAATAGCAATAATTAAAATAATAATAATAATAATAATAAAATTGTTGTTTTATTATTGTTAATATTATTACTATCATTAATGATAATGCTAATGATACAAATAACAACAATGATCATGATCATGATAATGATGATGATGATGATGAAAATATACTACTAAAAATATGACTTTAACTACTATTTACTATTACAACTATTATTACTACTAATAATAATTATAATAATTAATAATAATGGCGGTGATTATGATGATGACAGCAACAACATGCAGCGACAACAAGGCTTGAAATAGAACATCTTTTAACTCTCAAGCACATTAGATATCCATGCATGTTAAAGCTTATCTGCCGTAGTTTACAGGAGGGATTAGACCGCTCTGCAAGGTCACTGGACAGGTGGTTATCTCATCAACTCAGCTCTCAGTTAACATAAGAAAAAGAGGATCATGGGGGACCAATGGTCACCGATTAGGCATTGTTTGTTATATAGAGGGCGCAAGTAGCTACCAGTAGTGCAGTGGGCATTTAACCGGGGTAAGGAGCGATAAATAGAGACTAATATTTTGCCAGAAGACGTTATATTTGCTCAACATTTCAATGTAAAAGGTGAAATGAAAGAACTACTATATATGTCACGACAATTTGAAATAGGCTACCTATAGCTGTTTCCCTATAGCTAGATCGCTATCTTATTTTAAATAGCTAGACATGTAATAGCCACTTGTATATTATACGACAATCAAAAGACACATACCATATTCTCCCTGAGAAAGAACTGTTTCAAAGAGTTTAGACGACGAGAGGAAGAGAAATGTAAGGGTGGTCAATAATTTCATCCACACATGTTGATCCATATTTCTTTATATAAAAATATGTCTCTTCCAAAAATGCAGTACGGCTTACGACAAGCTTTATATTCAGTACAGCGCGAGCTGTGTATTCTCGTAAGGCGCTTTACAAATCGATTCCTTCACGACGATATATTACGCTGTCTCAATATAGTTTTATTTGGTGGTTTTGTGCAGTTTATTACCAAGTGAATCATCCCGGTATACAGCGAGTATGTATAGAGAGCAAACAAAAGACCTGCATTACGTAACTTATTTGGGCAGTACGCGTACGTTAAGGATGACCGTGCATGGTCATCAGTTCATAGGGTGTGTCGGTTAGATCTATTACGTCTATGGTTAGATCGAGAGAAAGAGATAACGGCATACTCTATCATAGGTTATTGAGACACAACCGCTCTGAAACGCATCCATTTTAATTACCCATCATCGAAAAGATATGTAAATGCATGCAGGCATTGTAAGCAGCGAGGGATTGTCAACAATAATATTTTTTTAAATATTTTAACTACAAAATATCGCGTCATAATTGTAGCGATTGGAATATGATATCTAGAAATAAATACTTGAACATCATTTTTCTTAGGGCAAGTCAGTGAGTCAGTGGATCCTTTCAAAATAAAATTTTCGATGCTTTATTATGATCATTGAGATTTTAGAAGAGCAAGCTCATTTAACTCTATCTCTCTCTCACACACATCCAATCCCTTCAGGTAACACAGATGACACCTTAATTGCCTAAATTCTTGTTTTCAAACTAATTGATAAATGATTATTCCCAATAGCTCATCGATCATTCATTAATTTTCTGATATTGTTGACATTTTTTCTTTACGAAATATTCAGTCGTGTGTTTATTTGTCCCGTCTTTCCTATAGCCATCTGATGAAAGAGTTTGTCCATTTTTGCTTTCATTTATTGTTATCATTTCATGCTTTTCTTGACATTTTATTTTCTTTCCTTTCCTTTCCTCATATCTTTTTCAAATTTGATAATAGATTGCATTCAATTTTCGTTGCTGTTGTTGTTTTTCATACAAATTAAAGCATCAAACTTTTTTCTAAAGCTCTTTACTTTTCGAGAGTCAATGTCTGTATAAATCGTGTACAATAATTGCGTCTCAAAAAGCTTATAGTTGGTAAAAGTCTTTCAACTAATTATTTGAAGCAAAAAAAAATCAGGGAATTTCCATACTTTATGATCTCTGAGTCATCATTAAATTTGACAATGTATTTTACGCTTGAATGAGCAAAAATATTTTTTGTAGAAAGAGTGCAAAATACTTAATACAGCCTTGACAAGAATCGGCTTTTGCTCTGACTAGCTGGTATCAGCAAAGTTGAGAGTCGTGAAAAGGCTTGGAAATGTTCATACTCTGATCATTTATGCCTATCAACTAGCTGCACTAGTTTGGCCAGGAGGGATTAGACCTCCCTGCAAGGTCACTGATAGGTGGTTATCTCCTCAATGGGGGACCACTGGTCACCGATTTGTCATTGTTGGCTATATAGAGTGCGCAATTAGCTATAAGTAGTGCAGTGGGGTTTAAAGACAACATATAAAAGAACAGGCTTTGTTCCAGGTCTTTCGGATAGTGACGTTAAAGGTCGGTCCCCAGACTTGAATAATCATATCCGATTGATAAACGTCTGTAAAAGATCACGCGCGCGCGCGCACACACACACACACATGTATGTCCCAACCCAACATATCCCATCAACATGTTATGGTTAAGTGAGCAATTAACTTAAAGGCCCACTGCACTACTTGTAGCTACTTGCGCCCTCTATATAACAAACAATGCATAATCGGTGACCATTGGTCCCCCATGATCCTCTTTTTCTTATGTTAACTGAGAGCTGAGTTGATGAGGGCGCTCTAATCCCTCCTGTAAAGTATGGCAGATAAGCTTTAAATGCTTACTCAACTTTTGATTGTCGATTGTTTTGTAATAAATAGTACTATTTGATGAGCTTTATTTAATTTAAACGGTTCCTATAGTCACTCGATAAAACCAAACGGTACCGCATCGACTCCAAACCGACCGATTTGGGGCCATATATGCATATATAATGTAATATTTTCGTTCGGTGTGATGTCGGTGTGATGTCGGTGTGATGTCGGTGTGATGTCGGTCTTGTCGGTGTAAACGAGGTATGACATACTTTCGATGTTAGATAACTAATATTGTTCACCAAAGATGGCCCAGACAGAAATAACAATCAATCATTAATCAAAGTTTAATTGACGTATGGAAATATTAAGTGCAAGCTAAATCTGAAAAATGCAAAACTTGTAAGTTTCATGATACCAGCCATAACAAATACCAATCATATTTGAAAGGTCTGTATTTGAACCCTTTTACAAAAAAATCTTTCACGAAAGTGGCTCTTAATTGCACAATAAAGCGTAAATATCGTCATATTGTTGATGTCATTGATAGAAAAGACTTTGAACTATCCACAGATCAACATGAATGGAAATTCCTGAAAATCGTTTTAAGTGTCCTATATTCGGGCAGACTTTTTTTTCTCTAATTTTAATTTTAAACTTTTATATTTTCAAGTTCCTTGCTTTCTTTTCCTATGTTTAACATTAAATTTAGATCACTCTTTGTCCTCCTTGGTTTATCTATTTACAAGTCGATAGTTGTTTGTCAGAAGATTCTAGCCATTCCAAGTTCATGCATAGCGAATTGTAAACGTTGAAGTTGTAAAGACTTAAACATTTCCAATTCTAAGTTCCCATTTTGATTCATCTGTGAGGGCAGTACATAAGTTTCGTAACTAAAGCTCTTAAACCCCCGGCGTTTAAACTCGGTATTGATTTTTGGGGTCCACCCTAAAACAGTGGCGGAACATGGATCCAGGCCCGAGCTGAAAGGGGCATTGGTGTTCTGGGGATTGGGGGCCTCTGTCTTGTGAGATGGATGAAAAAGCGAGAAAAATGAATGTTGGAGAATGGTCATATCATCATATTCATAATTTGCTAACCCCCCTCTCTCTCTCTTTCTCTCTCTCTCTCCCTCCCTCGACCCCCCTCTCCCCCCTCTGGTGCCAGGTAAAAATGTCAGAGGTAAAAATGTCAGAGGTAAAAATGTCAGAGGTACAAAATTAATGTCAGAGGTACAAATGTCAGAGGTACAAATGTCAGAGGTACAAAATGTCAGAGGTACAAATGTCAGAGGTACAAACAAAAAGTCAGAGGTACACTGTCGCTCATAAAGTTGGAATATTTTTGTTTTACCCCAATTTATGGAATTATTTTAAAAACAATAGATCAAGATAATAGTGTTTATTGCATTTTACCCCGGTCCCAAACATAAAAAAAATCCTCTGGACGGCCATGCATTATGGCTCAAACATATTTTTATACCTTATTTGTGACATTGGCAGGACTGGTCAGGAATTGGCGGAAGCTCAGGGGTTTGGGGAAATAAATTACGGTCAGATGAGCATATTTTGATACCTTATTTGTGACACTGGCAGGACACAAATTGGCCTGGGGTTTAGGGGGCGGAGCCACCAGAAGCTCAGGGGGGTTATACATCAAATTATTGTCAGATGAGCATATTTTAAACCTTATTTGTGACACTGGCATGTCAAGAATTGGCATTGGGTCTAGGGGGCAGAGCCCCCTGAAGCTCAGGGGTTTCGAGCAATAAATAACGGTCAGATGAGCATATTTTGATACCTTATTTGTGACACTGGCAGGACAAAAATTCGTGTTGGGTCCAGGGGGATGAGCCCTCAGAAGCTCAGGGGTTTTATACATCAAATTATCGTCAGATGAGCATATTTTTATACCTTATTTGTAACACTGGCAGGTCACGAATTGGCGTGGGGTCCAGGGGCGAAGCCCCAGAAGCTCAGGGGTTTGGGGCAATAAATTACGTTCAGATGAGCATATTTTTATACCTTAATATTTGTAACACTATCAGGTCATGAATTGGCTCTGGGATTCCAAGGGGCGGAGCCCCCAGAAGCTCAGTGGTTTTTGGCATTTTTATAACGGTCAGAAAAGCATGCAGGGCCCGCGTTAGGGCCCCTGATGGGGTCGAGGGGGTTGAGCCCCTGAAACTTAGGGGTTTTATGGTCAGATAAACATATTTTGATACCTTATTTGTGACACTGGCAGGACACTAATTGGCGTGAGGTCCAGGGGGCCGAGACCCAGAAGCTCAGGGGTCTTAAGCATTAAATTACCGTCAGATTAGCATCCAGCCGTCCGCCTTAGGGCCAGGGGCAGAGCCACCAGAAGTCAGGGGTTTTAAGGCATTTAAAGATAAAGGTGAGTTCTGGTCATCTGATTGCATTGTGAAAGAAAAGCTGTGGAATGGATCAGAAAAAGTTGATCATGTAGCATGTAAGTATTGGTGTGTAGTGCAAAGTTCTGGAGTCATCAAAATCATAATAAATTTGGCCCAGTCTTGGTAAAGTAACAAGCACTGTACACAGAAAGATGTATATGGGACTACACAAATTATGTCGGGGCTACTAACCTTGATTTCCTAATCTTTCTATGTTCATTACTCAGCCAGTATACATTTTCTACTAAAATTGCTTGGCAATTAACATTTATGTGTTATCTTGAACATTCAGTGTAAGTTTTGTTAGACTCTGTGAGAATCCATTTTCTTTTTTTCTTTTTTTACCAGTCAGAACTCACTCTTTATCTTTAATCACGGTCAAATGACCATTTTTTATGTTTTCTTTTGGCCCCGGAAATTAGAAATTTACGTCGTCAGATATTTCGTTCAGTGGCTAAGGAGTGGGGAAGAATTTTTTTGTTTAATATTGCTTCCTTTAGCACCAAAAAAAAAAAAAAAAAAAATCCCCCTTTTTTCCTTCTTTTTTTCTACCTTTTTTGTTTTGCCTTCTTTTTTTTTTTTACCTGGATCCGCCACTGGTACCTTGTACGTGTACCGAAGTTTACAATAATACTATCAAACCGAAACAAAACAAAACAAAACAAAACATTTTTTGTTTTCCACCTTTAAACTCATGCCAAAACCATTAACAACATCCTTTAGACCTTTTCCTTTGGACCTGTACAGTTCGAGGTTATTTTTAGAGTCAGCTGTACTCTTAATAACCAGCACTTAGTACGCTCTATTTAGTATAACTATATCACATTGTTTGTACTTGAAAAATAAGTACAAATTAAAGGAATGAAATGAAAAAGGAGTTCAACTGTTCTGGGAAGAGATATGTTTTCAATAATAACTTAAATTGGTCTATGGACTATATGATTTGATTAAAGTTGGGATAGCTTTCCATTTGTTGGATGTAGTTACAGTAAATATGCGATTACAAGCTTTGCTACGAGTTTTTGGAATGGTTATCAAACACATGAAACTAAATCAAGGCTGTCGTGTAATTATATCAGCAGATCATGGTCTACATCCTTTCTAACCATTTTTAACTCACCCATTTAAAGGTCAAATTCAAAGAAAATCACAAATATGTAAACTAATGTATCACTAGAAACTGGTAAGCTAACAGATGGCCATGGTACAAGTTTTATGTCAACTACATATCCGGTGATTTATCAAAATACAAATACAACCACCTCCATAGCAGCTGGGATATACGAGAGATTCGCCGGAAAAATAACGATGTTTTAATGACGTCACTATATGGATCAATACTGCCCGAGCAGACGACATCCCATAAAGAATGTACATAATTGCAAAGCTATTTTGTCAAATTATAATGAGTTTACTGTATATAAATGTAAAGGCATGTCAAACCGTTCAAAAGGAGATATGACCCGATTCTGAAAAACTAAAATCTTTTGCTTGTAAATACACAGGATTTGGGTTAATTAACAATCAAAGAAACCAGACTTTCAAATTGAAAAACCCCCGGAATGATATTAAGGATGGCACTTGTTCCCTCTTGAAACGCCGAACATACCGCGGTGTGTGCAGTTGAATATACAATGCCGTCTTTTTTGTTTACAAGCGAAAGATTCCTTTATTTTTGTATCACTGCATTTGTCATCAAAATAAAACCATGCGCGGGGTTTAGAGTGAGGCAATAGATTTTATTTAGCCTGACGATACTAAAGTAAGAGAAAGAACTCAAGAGAAGATGAAAAAACAGGCACTGAAAATGTGTGAAATGTCATGGGACATCGTCTGCTTGTGCAAATCATGTCCATACTGTGATCTCACACAGATCAGCAGCGTTCGGAGAGCTCTTCAGGTGCTATGCCGGGGCTGTATTTAAGCGTTTTGTAATTTATAATAATCATTATTTCGAATGTTTCCAAGCATTGAATTTTGATAACCTTGTCGAATCAAAGTTTCAACTTTGCAATAATGAATATAAAGTTAGTTTTTAAAAAACAAAACAGTGGAAGCACGGTGAGTACTGTTTGTCTTTTTTTAAAATCATCAATTGTGTCCATATAATTCAATTGGTAGGTTGGTAAAATATTGATATAATATTAGATAGCTTTGAGTGTGATACAAGAGTATATTGCCATAGCGAGAGCAATATTTTCTTGTATCACACGAAAACAAAGCCATTAATATTATTTTTTATTATCTAGAGCAGGCTGACTAGCGAAATAGCAAAATTAGACTTTCAGTTTTTTTGGAAATCAAGCAATATTGTGAGAGTATTTTAAACCCACTAATGACCTATGACCTTAATGGACATGGAAACCGATGGCCATCTCCATTTAAGGTTTCAGGAATCAAAAGAATTTCCGTCTATTATATCGAACTTGTTCAATAGAGCGGTTTATCACAACCAGGAGCTTATTTGGCGCTGAATGCCATCACCTATTAAGAGCCGAAATCATTTTGTGAAAATCTAAAATCTGGGATTTTGTGAGAACTGGAGAACTGGGGAAATTGTCGAGATTCTCGAGATTTGGATACAACAAGAATTCCTTTTCAAAGTTGGGCTAGAAATCTGTCAAAAGGTAGGAAATAAGCCTACATGTTTTGACTTTTAGACTTGACTAAGAAATCTCACGAGTTTGATATTTTCTGGAGTTTGGGGAAAAATCACGCCAAAATCTCTGATTTTGGCTTGAAGAAAGTACGTTTTTTTTTTTTTTTAGGTGGTTCCTAAGTTTTGGTACGAATTAAAATACATCAAGCCATTCTCTTCTAATCCTAGTGTACAGCTACGTTCGTGACTCGTGTGTTTGGGCACGCAACATTAGTATACTGTTTCGCTGTGAATTGCTGTGAATTTTTCTATATTTCTGTTTGCTATTGTATGATTAAGATAGCAAAACAGTATGCATAAGCTAATGACAGGTGCCTTGCAGCTATCCTTAATGAAGTCATTTTGTGTGGTATAGAAGCTCCATAAATGAGACTTTTCTATTAAGAGTTTGAGAAGAGTAGATCTGATGTTGTTCATCAGATCTACTCGTCTCAAACTCTTAATATAAAAGACTCAGATTCTGATACTTTAAGCTCTGATAAAATTGCTTCATTGTTATTGAAAAGTATATAGGGTCAAATAATATAGTCCCAACTCCCAAGGCAAACATTGCTTCAGGTTTAAAAAAAATTAATGTACATCTAGATCTACTTGGTACAGAGTATGTTTTTTAAAGAACAAATCTAAATCGCTTGATGCTTCGTTTGCTATATTGCAATCAAAATTTTCATGCAAAGCTTTTGATTTGTTGAGACTTTCCATTTAATCACTCATACTTATCCTTCAAAGACATTTGGTCCACAGCCAACAGATGTTCTAGAAGTCATTGGTCACTTAATCGGACGCCTATTAACACTGGACACCTCATAACACCGGACAACTTTTAAATGCCCGTATGTCCTAGGGAATTAAAATGACTAATATGCATCGAAGGTCAACTCAGAATGACAAGTTGACCTAAATGCACTTGTTACCTATACACAGGGGCGTCGCTAGAGGGGGTGTGGGGTTTGTTCTTCATTTTCCGAAAGAGCATAACAAATAACGTCCAAGTGTCGAAAACCAGTTAAAAAGGTTCAGTACTGGCTGAGATATGACCATCTGAATGAAAATATTTCCTATAGGAGCTCAGTGTTATATTGCTCTGGCTCATAGCTCACAGCTGTGTCGGATATGGCGGGCGGAACGTGCCATATTCATGACAACTAAACATCCATTCGACAGATGTATAGTTTTAACCAATCAGAACACAGGAAACTGTACGACTATACAACTATACGACCTATACGGCTATTCATCCATCGAACGTATAGTTTCCAGCGTGTGGGCCGAAGTGCCATAACTATACAACTATACAACCATACGACTATACGACTATACAGCCAGGGGTTTTAACTACTGCACGTGTACTAGTTTCTCTCTGCGCGAGCATAAAAACTCCTGATCAGTAGCTTTAACTACTGCACGTGCAGTAGTTAAAACCCCTGATCAGGGTTTTTTTTTGCTCTCGCAGGCCCGGCCATACTTGTTTACAATTAGACTATACGTGTTTACAGCTAGACTTTTACTTTTTTACACAGTTGTATATCACTATACCATTGTATAAACACGTACAGTTTGCGGCGTTCTGATTAGTTAAAACTATGCCTCCATTCGATGGCTGCATAGTCGTATATAGTTGTATAGTCGTATATTATTACGGCACTTTGGCCCGCACGCTGGAAACTATACTTGCGTCCAATGGATGCATAGCCGTATAGTCGTATATTATATTTGTATAGTTATATGGTCGTACAGTTTCCAGCGATCTGATTGGTTAAAACTATACGTCCATCGAATGGATGTATAGTTGTATAGTTGTCGTGAATATGACACGTTCCGCCCGCCATAGGCCTTCGTGGCTTAGTCCTTTGTTTGTCAAGCATATTTTATATTTCTTTAATTTATTGTCGATGTTTTGCTTTTTCGAAGTCTTTATTCTTCTTCTTTAGCTCTCCTTGGCGACCTGAAAATAACGAACTAATTCCTCCAGCGCGATGGCCTCTGAAAAGACTAGAGCAGAACGCAACTACGAAGCTCGGGTTGACTTAGCCACAGCCTATCGTGCCTGCAACTACTACAACCTCAATTATGGTATCTTCAACCATATAACGCAGAGGGCGCCTGCCAAAGATCGAGAGGGAGATGTTATGCTTATAGTTCCGTATGGATTGCTCTGGGACGAGGTACAAAACAAAAAGAGTAATACTTTCACTCATGTAATCTCAAAACAAACCTCACCCTAAAGAATAATTGTAGGCATTTTGAAAAATGAGATAATGATGATGGGCGCAGCCATTTCCTTGAAAATGTGACGTATAGTTAAAGTTGATACTCTAAGCAAATAAATGTCCCTTAATTTGTTACCTACGTCAAATATATGTTATTTTTAAGTTTTTCAATTACTTAGTATATCACAAAAAAATTCTGTCTACTCGAAATCCTCAATTGAAATGTCGAAAATATCCGCCTCTCTTTGCATAGAAAATCAGTCACGGCGCTGGTCTATTATTTATGACCTCACGTCCGGGAAAGAGTATATTCACGTACCCGGATGTTCCATAGCAAACATGTGCAGAGTGATACGATTTTCTGCATATTTTTGTTTCAAAGGCTGAAAAGTCTAATAAATTATAATTCTATGTACAATTCTTTACCTTCCCCTAGTACTTCATAGTATTAATATCAATTCCCCTTTTAAAAATTTTGACATATACCAGCCAACGATGTGCTGTTAGTCGATATTTTCACCATGTAATTTTTGTTTTGGTGTTGAAATCGGCCCAGGCACGGAGTGAACAGTAGCTGTCTACCCATGCACAGTTCATTACCATACACTACAGCGATCTCCCGATGGTTTCTTCTTCCTTTTTCCCCATGTCTTTCGCCTTCCTTGGCCCTGAAAATCCTTCATCTACCAATTCTGACACCGGAAGTCAGGAGCAAGTCTTTGTTAGTTGTTTTTCTTAGCTGGCAACGTCGCTTTCATTCTCTTGCAATTGCCGATAAACATATAACTAGCGCACGTACGTTCCATCACAAGCAAGCAGCGCCTATAGAGCAGCGGCTTGGTCTTACCTCCCGATTCTGCTCGCTTCACGAACGTTCATGCAAGAGCCGCGTCACTCGCCAAAATATTATAGAGGAAGCGCGCTTGCATGATCTCGTTCAAGTTTGATATTTTACAACATAAAATGTTTAACTGGTACTGTATCATTTTTTGAGGCAGTCACACACATCTATGATAATTACTATCATAGTTCTAGACCTATTCGTTTTACAAAACTGCTCCTATACCTTATCTGATGACAATATAATGCATCCGCCTATTCATACGTCGACGATTTAACTTTAATTCCTAAGCAGTAAACTCGTCTTAAATCTCTACCAAATAGGTGAATATGAGGATATAAAAACAAATCAGCGACTGGAAAATGTTGCTTCGTTATTCTTCATTCAAATGAAAACAGAAAATCCATCAAATATACTCCTTAACAACAACAAATCTAAGCTCTGACAGGATAGCATTTACGTAGGGATATCACTGCCATTCACTCTCACTGAGCCCATGAGTCCCGTTCGTGACGTCACGGATAGAGGCCCGACTCTACGTGCACTTCCGGGTCTCAGACTTAGATGTTTTGGTAGAGTTTACTCGAATAAATTCATTATTCTAAACTTGTTTTGTCGGGTGGACACCATTTGGTGTTATTATGGGGGTTAAAAGCTTTCTGTTTATGTAATTATCTCAGTATTTGGGATTGTCTTAGAGTATCAACTTTAAAGTTATACATTTATCATGCTGATTCATGCACCAAGTTTTAGTTGGAAAGACTTTTTAATTCAATAACAAAACGTTTACTTTTCAATGAGGAAAAATCATCGCTAAAAAAATTTAAAATTACCACCAACTTATTTATGCAATGTGCGTTCTGGCAATTGTAGTGCAAAGGATAATAGCAGGTAAATCAAATGCTTCATCACTACACAGACTTGGGAAGGAAGCATTCATTAATTTGAATATATTTACTTGGTAATTCAAATAGAACGTAACGTTATCATAATATGGCGATGCCCATGTCATGCTGAGAAACTGTACATTATTCTTGCTTTATGCCTCTCTCAAGCAATTTGGAGGGGAATCTTGTAAAAGAATGGTCACGAATATAATAAATCTTCTGAATAAGTAAAGCTATCTCTTGGGGTGAGGTTTCCTTTAATGCAGTGTGACTTACTTTCAAGAATACGATCAAAACATGGAATATTGTTAGGCCCATTCAATTTTTTTGGAAGAGCATGTTCCGCTTTAAATGCATGTATTTCAGTGTGTCTCCTTCCCGGCCCCCACTCAGTGTTATTTAGGGTACGCATATGCGTGTTCCCAGCATTCCCCCCCCCCCCCCCTTTCAGCAAAAGTCCGGTGTGTAAAGTCAATATGGGTCGACCTTTTTCTTTTGTTATACGAGCCTTTTTCAGCACCCCCCCCCCCCCCCTTTCAGCAAAAGTCCGGTGTGTAAAGTCAATACGGGTCGACCTTTTTTGTTTGTTATACGAGCCTTTTTCAGCACCCCCCCACCCCCTTTCAGCAAAAGTCCGGTTTGTAAAGTCAATACGAGTAGACCTTTTTCTTTTGTTACGAGCCGGAGAGTTTGGGAACACGCATGGTATCCCTCCGTTCACGGAGTGGGGGGGGGGGTCCCCTTGCAAAAGACTTAGAAAGATTGAGAAAGTTTGAGAGATCTATAGAGATCATAGAGATATATATCTCTATGATAGAGATCGATAAAAATTAGGAGAGATCTAGAGAGACCGAGAGAGATCGAGAGAGATCGAGAGAGACCGAGAGAGATCGAGAGAGATCAAGGGAGAGAGAAAGAGCTAAAGAGATCAAGAGAGATCAAGGGCGATCGAGATAGACAGAGTGTAATCGAAAGAGATCAAGAGAAATCGAGACTGATCAAGAGAGCAAGGGAGATCGAGAGAGATCGCGTGAAATCGAGAGAGATATAGAGAGAGATCAAAAGAGATCACTAGAGATCGAGTGGACTTGTATGTGGAGGAAGAATCTTTAAACGTACCCTTTCGTTCTTTTTTTTTTCTTTCTTTACTATTTTCTCTTATGAATTTATTAAATGACATGCATTAGGTCACTCAATCCTGTCTCATCGGCATCGACTTCGAGACCGGAGAGGTAGTCGAAGGAGAAGGTAAAATCGCCGAAACAGCAAATGCAATTCACCGTGCTATCCATCGCACACGTTTCCCCATCGACGGTACAACTAGCATAATGCACACACATCAATCATATACTACCACCTTGGGTAAGCTCAGATTGTAAGCAGTATTAATAGATAATTGTATAGCATCACAAATTTTCGGAAGCTTACTAGATTTATACCCCTAAGAAAATAAATAAATAAAATATTGAGGCATTATTTTAATGCAATCTGTTATATACTCGTTTTCTTATTGACTGCATTTTCGTAAATTGTTAGTAATTATTTGTTTCGATGGCCTAAATGGAATTTATGTTTCACTGTCTTACAATAACTCTTTTTTTTTTGTTCATTCAAACACTATTGTTTTCTTTGTTTTCTAATGTCTTGATATGTTATGGTAAATTCAGCTTGTGTGGATGATCCAGAACCCTTCAAATTCGGACTTTCGCAGGGAAGCATGTTTTTCTATGGAAAGATGGCGTTTGATCACGGTTACACAGGATTTGCTCATGCTGATGATGAAGGGTACAGACTGGCTAAGGTAAGTAGATGAAAAAGTCTTTCGTTTCCTATCATGATCACAGTGCAATCTCTAGCTTCCCGCTAATGCTACCCATCACTATAACACATTTTTCATGTCACGAGGCGTCATTTTGTCCGACGTTTCATGACGTCGCTGCAACATATTATCACGAGACATATTTATGCGAGTGATATCCGGCTCCAGTGGCAGGTGAGAACGTAGTCAAAATGACGTCTCGAGGGCAAATGATACACCGGTAATACAAAAATGATAAGCCTATATTTGTGTCAACTAAACTACCATTTGTGCCAACTCAACTACCATTTGAGCCACACCATAATGAATTTGGTTGCTTACTTAGAAGCATATGTGCATGCTTTTATAGCAGCCAGCTAAAATAAGCCGCCAAGACAAACGTAACTCTTACCATGACAGACTCTCGTCATGTCTGACCTTCGATACAAAACGTGAAACTCAACCCTGCGTTTGACCATTTTCCTGAATATTGTTTTTAATTCCTTTTGGGGTCAAGTCAGTCGATGAAGCCACTTCCACATCCAGAGTACTCCCCTGGCTTTTAAAGTACAACTCTGATTCCAAGCTGTTCTTTTTGCAAAAATAGGAGGGTATGCAATTGCAATTGGATTAATTAACAAGCCAAAACAGCCAATAGGTTGATCTTCAAAAGATATCGGTTCTGCAGACGACTCAAATTCAATCATTCAAACTTAAAGGAGTCCGTACCAAAAAGAAAAAGCACTGCCCATGTATTATATTGAACGTTGCAATTTCAGTATGATACTTCAGGTTTTCCAGGCGTTGGTGACATAAATACTGGCACTCATCTTAAACTTTTGCTCCCTTTCGATCCCTCTTTCAACCAGGTTCTCGGTGATAAAAGTGTCTTGATGATGTGTAATCATGGGGTACTCACTGTTGGTAAAAGAGCATGCGACGCCTTCTATATTCTGTACGAGCTTGAAGTATCCGCAAAAATTCAGGTTAGTGTTATAGGGAAATCAAACACTTTTTAACACTTAGTGATATTTATGCGACATGCGAATAATATCCCTGTGCCACAATTTATATATCATGGGATAGATGTACCAAATGCTTTAAGATTATTTAAATGTTTCCAGTGCAAGATTAATCCAGTGTTAGAAGGATTGTCATGGAGCCATCGGCGGGGGGAGGGGCGGGGGGGGGGGGGGACATCATATCAAATGTCCCCCATGTTTTGTTAGAAAAGAAGGGGGACCACCAGGAATAACGATTTTAAAAAAAATTATGTATTACTGGACAACTTTCCCATTGGTTCCAACGAGCAATATGCCTAAAATTTCTATTTTGCCAGATGTGTTTAACTCGACGGGTCTCGGACATATTTTGTCAGTATTGACCCAAGGGAAAAGATGCCTAGGCGAACAAAAAAAACAAAAAACAGAATTGATGATATTTTTTCAGTCACACAAACGAGATCAATACCAGACAGGCAACAGATAACTTTAGTGAGATGGGTGTTGAATGCTCTTGATAATAAAGAGCATACAAAACTTTGTGATTGCAACTAATCATCATTATTGTTACTTACCAAATTCAGATTTTCTGAAATTAGGGGATTAGTGTTTCACGCGATTAAAGATTATTTAAAGGATAGAAAAAAAGTTTGTAAATTGTAGAAGTGTTCTATTCACGGGCCCCTGTTTTTTCTCATTCATGTAAAAAGTCTTCCTAATTATGTGTCAGAGGTTTCGCATATACTATATTTGCAGATGACACGATCGTTTTTTAAGTGATTCAGATTTGAAATCCAAACAAATAATATAGAAATAAACAAGTTTATTTTATTGGTTTAAAGTTAATGGCTGAGAAAAAAATATATGCATTTACTACCCTAAACACAAAATTTGACAGGGATTTATTAAATGTTAAAGTTCTAAGTGTTAAAACTAGTCTGACTCAACGCATCTGCAATTTCTAGGTCTTGCAATCTATGAAAAGCTCCGAATGACAACACATTGTGAGGCAGTTAGGCATAGTCCTATGGAATGGATTAACGGGTGACATTGAAAACTCGGAACCACTTTAAAGCTTTAAAACAAACTTAAGAAAATATTTATTGTTAAATATACAATATGATATTATATTAATTCAGGGGTATAACCCTGACAAGCAATTTTTGCTTTTGTTTTCCCCATCTACATACATGTACTAGTTTACCATATTTCCTCCATTGTTATTTACTATCTTTTTTCTGTTGTCATTTTATTTACTATTCCTTTGTATTTTATAATGTACGTTATTTTGCATTCTACATGTTGTTTTAAATTGGAATGTGAAAAATGAATAAATGAAATGAAATTAATTAAATATGGATTAACGTCTTGCGAAAGGACGTTAGTGCATTGTGATTTCTACTAAACCACAACACCTCTTAATAAGCTATGGTGTATCCAAAAAATATCCCATGACAATGGAGAGAAAATTCACGTAGGCCTACGATAGGGACAGATACCGACCACTTTCGAGACAAACACAGTCCACTAGACCCACTAGACCGTCTTTTTCAACCTTTCCTTATATGTCGGTTTAGTGGACTGTTAATCTAGTAGGCTGTCTGAAAGTCTACTTTGGATGACCCCCCCCCCCCCCCCCCCCCGACAAAGGTGTACATGACTGTGTTAACATTATTTTTGTTGTTGTCTTTTTGCGTTTTATTTTTACAGGTACAGGCTCAATCCACGGGGATGAAGTTGCGAATGGCACCACAAGAACTATGCGAGAAGGTTGCGAATGATTATGATGGCATGGATGGCGACAGACTTCTTTTTTTCAAAGCACTAAGGAAGCAAATGACTAACCAAAAGCCGTGCGTGACAGACTAGATTAAACGTGAGCAGAAAATTTATTTGTAAAGCGCTTTGAGACATTTTGTATTAAACGCCATATAAAAATGGATTGTTATTGATATTCTGATGATGATGGCACAAACGAAGTTATGCAAATAGACGATTTTTAAAAATCTTAAGTATTCATGTTCATGGGTAATAAGGGTTTTATGAACATTATTGACATCTTGACTGAGTCAAAATTCTTTGCTTTTGAAATGCTTACAAAATTGTGTTTGTCTGATACACATTTTATGCCATTTTATGTCATAATCGTTCAGCAAAAATATGTACTCGTCAGGCCCATTGCACACTATACAACCCCGCCCCCCCCCCCCCCCCCCACTCAGTGTTATTTAGGGTACGCATAATGCTCGTACCCTCTTTTTGAAAGCACCCCCCTATCTGAGGACTGCCAACATTTCCGAACCCCCCCTTTCGCGGGCTTTTCGCGGGCTTTTTTTGCATTGGAGACCCCCCTAAATCAGAAAAAATGCTCAATGTACCCCCCTAAATTCGGAATAATTTCTCAGGAGTCCAAAGAGATGAGAAAAAAAAAAGAAAAACACCCCCTTTTTAAAGAAATCTCCGGGTGAAAAGTCAAATACACCCCTTTTCTTACAATTCTCGGGCCGGACTTTGTCGCACGAAAAGTACCCCTTTACCGGACATTTTGGCAACACGCATGCGGTCATTCCGACCTCTGAGTGGGGGGGGGGGGGGGCGGGTATACAACCTCCTGCATGCGATCCGATTTCCGAAAAAATTGCAATTATCATAATCTAAACAATATGATAAGAATACTAAAACCCCGAATTGTTGTGATCTTAATACCCTGTACACACAGCTCTGCGACTTTACAAAGACCATGCCGATCACCCCGATCTGAAAAAGTTATCAAATCGGGAAAAAGCCGTCAAAATCCAGCAATTTGGCAACTTAAAGACTATACATCACGACTGTACTGCGGTCTTTTCCTCAGTGTTATTTTTGAATGAATCCATTCATGTTAGAAATAGCGTCGACATTTTGCAAAGTATCACTATTCTTTATTTTGAAAATAATGTTTGATGAAATTGGAACAAAACTTTCTGTCTTGTTCTGAGATGATAGTTCAGTATCTTTACATGTTAACGTTCACAGTAAGACCTAAAATAAAAACTTGTTGTATTGCCCTTTGGGTGCCAAAACATGGGTCGGTCGGTCGGAAAAGTTTTTTTGTCGCCCTCTTTGGGCCGATATGTTTCAGTTTTTAGTTTTTATTGCTGTACAGTAACAGCAATAAAAACTAAAAACTGAAACATATCGGCCCAAAGAGGGCGACAAAAAAACTTTTCCGACCGACCGACCCATGTTTTGGCACCCAAAGGGCAATACATGTGTTTCAGCGTCATGATTCCATTCATATTTTTTTCACCTCATAATAATCCATGGTTTGCAATGTTGTGTTGATCGAGATGTTTACGCTAGTAGGATTTTGAAACAAGGGCAGAAGACGAGTGAGAATTTAGGAATGATTTGTTTTTATGCACTTATAATATATACCATTTATTCCAACAAACAATTTATTTATTCATTAATAAAAAAAAATTTAAATTAAAAATGGTTTACAAAAATTTTTTTTTTTTAAATGCCGACGGTAAATTCTCAGATTTTTGGGTCGGTCGCAAAGGGCAATACAACAAGTTTTTATTTTAGGCCTAATACACATATCGATATCATGATTCACAGCGGGAATCAAATCTAGTTGTGTGTTGTTGTTTTTTTCTTTTTTTTGTTTTTTGTTATAGGTGGGGGGGGGGGATTCCTCTCTCATGTCGTACATTTCATAGCTTGATCACAATACCATTAACCCGTCAACCATTCTCATTTCGAGTAGAATTCTACTTTTCTTCTCTAATGCATGTACACTGTTGCTCATAAAGTTGGAATATATTTTTCTTACCTCTTTTCATGGATAACAATATATGTTATCCATAACTCACCAATGAAAATGTAAATTGTAATTTATTAATTTTTACAACCAGTATTCTCTCTGTCGAAATTGTACTTTTTACCTTGTTTTCGATATGTCTGATATACACTCTCATCCTCAGCATTATATTTTATATATAAATATATATATATATATATATATATATATATATATCTCGCTTTGTCTCTCTTTCTCTCTCCCTCTCTCCCTTTTTTCTCTTTCTCTCCCTCTGTCTGTCTCTATCTCACACTTTTCTTGGATCTCCTGTGCTGTCTGCACTATTATCCTCCCTACCTCTCTTCTATATTTCCCTCCAGCCCTATGATGATTGTGGAATAGAATTAAGCAACTGTTAGCTGTAAGCGAATTTCATGAATTTTATTAATTTGTATATACAGTGCGTCCCAGAAAAAACGAAACCGAGAAGTATCGATGTTCTATCATAACTTAATCACAACTATAATTAATGAATGATACATATTTGGAAAACTTAGTCTCCTCTTTCATGTGATGCTACTCAGATAATGCATATTTCACGCATGAGTGATTAAAAGCAATTCGAAGGAAGGAAACCAAAAAGACATTTGGCGGGCGGTATCTGAATTTCGAAGAAAAAGTCACATTTCTAGAAAGTTGAGTTTCTGCCCTTTCATATGACACCTCAATCAGGAAAAATGAGCGAGGAATGACAAAGTTCTGTTTGTTTAAAGTAGTGCTTGCATTTCCATAATTTTATTAAACGAATTCGTTTTCACTGGCTGCCTGCCGTATCAAAAAGCAGATTTGACAAAAGACTTAACTCCGTTTCGTTGACAATCAGCCATGCATGAAGACTCTCGTTTATATTTAATTTATATTACGAAAAGGATAAACTGGATTCACTATTGGCTTTTTCGTAATAAAGCAGAAATAATGTCATTTATATGTTACGATTTGAAATCTATCTGAACTTTTTTCTCAAACAGACATATATCATTAGCGTACTTAATTACACAGGGTGGCCCAATAAAAACGGACCAGCATACTTCCACTAATATGGGGTCAAATTCACTGGTAACAGCGGAAGAACAACCTTTTCTCATAAATAATGATACCAAGAGTGACAAATTTGGTAGTCCAATATGTTGTTTTTGTGTGATGTAAGGTATAAGATCAAAATTGTCCAATATCAACGAAACTTTTTTTTTAAACGGTTTGTATGATTTAATTTCTATAGAGCTTGTGTTCAATCTGAGTGGGACGTTCATTACAGCCTCCCCAAAGCTCTAGCATAGTTCCATTTTTGAAACTACAACCAGATAGAGCTCGGGAAGGATAAGAGAAGGGGTAGATGTGGACACCAAGAGGGATGGTGGATAGAAAGGTATAAAGAAAAAAAATTACCGAGTGAATGAGAGAGAGAGAGAGAGAGAGAGAGAGAGAGAAATGGAAAGAGAGAGAGGGAGAGATATTTAAATCGTGAGGGCAGTATTCACACGTTTACAATGGAAATTGGAAAGTCGGGTAAGGTAGATAGATGGGAAGAATAGGCAAAACTGAAACAATCTAACATGCAATTGTTACATAAACAAACACAAAAGTACAAGCTATATTTCAAGTGGTAAATAAGAATAGAATACACAAAGAGAAAAGGAAGAAAGGGAAGAAAATTCATGATCCTTAAGTATTATGTATTGTATTAGAATCGAGTTTTCATGGATAAAGACGCAATCATTTTCTAATCCTCGGTCGCTTTGCTCCATCGCATATGTTGCTTTAGGATCTCGTGATTTCGGCCCCAATATAAATAATATCATATATAATTATATAGCCCCTGTAGTTTTAAGCTTTCCGAATGTCTTACAAACATCGGCCATTGATCTCCGACCAGCTGTTTCGCCGAACAACTGCCAACTATTCGCCAAAAATTCCACGAGCGGTTGCAAATTAGTTCACCAAAATCTTTGATGATTAGACAATTTTTGTATTACATTTGGCAACCGATCGGCATCTGCCAGATACTTTCCTCTAATCATATGTTTTTTAATTATTTATTTAATTTGTTTATCTGTTTGTTCGTTTCGGCGACGATTTGAAACTCAATTTAGAATATTCATTTGACATCTCCTTACTTATACATTGATGATAATATCAAAACGCGTTATAGAGTACTTGTATACTAAGTGAATTTTTAGTAATTCCTTTTGCAACATATATTTTTAATCTTTGTTTGTATGCACTATTATTGAAGATGACCAGAAATTTTGGATTCTAATGCAATAAATTTGGTTTGATATGATTCGATTTAATAGGAAATAAAAATTAATTTGAACCTGAATTTCACTTGTTTGTTCTGTTGATATCATCCGAGAGAAAATCTATTCTGAAGCGTTCTCTCTTTTTTAGAAGCACCAGAGAGAAAGTCTTGGGCAACAATAATTATACCGTTATTGTAATAACCTGCGACATGTATTAGCAGGATCAAGGGGGCATTTTTCAATGTGGCACGAGTAGCACTTGATCATGAAGGGGGCATAAAGAGGTAGGCATCAAAACGGGGGGGGGGGGGGGGGAGAGAAAAAGAAAGTGAGGGAAAGTAAAGTGAAGGCAAAGAAAACAAGAAATAGAAACTTCTTACTTTAGCATGTCAAGATTTTTTAAACAGTTTGTTCAGTGTTGAGCCGCCAGTGTACTATACAGCATATAAAATATATCTTTTATTGCTAATGCCACCTCACTCTACCCCCCCCCCCCTCCTTCCCTCTCTATCACTGTCTCCTTCTCTCTCTCCTTCTCTCTCTCTCTCTCTCTCTCTCTCTCTCTCTCTCTCTCTCTCTCTCTCTCTCTCAAACTATACTAAACAATTTCAGTCGATAACAATACATAGTATCTGACCAATGGACTGTGTAAAACTTGATTCTGTCTAACCAGTGTAGGTGTCATTTTATTTTGCCAAAAAATATACCAATAATAACCACAGAACAAGAAAATATAACAAATAAAAAGCAACTAATACATGCATACCAATATTCAAATAATTCAAACTGAACCGTTGTGAAAGAAAGCAATCGAAAAGAGATTTGAGCACAAAAAATTAAAAGAAGCGAGCTACATTTCTAATAGCTCTTCACAATATACATGTAGTACTTTTTAATAGTTCAAAATTTCAAAAAATTTAAAAATATAAGACCTTGAGGAGATGGGTTGAAATGCAGGTTAATCATACATGAACATAAAATGTAACACATTTTCTGAACAAACATGCCGAGGTGAAGATCTCAGTATCGCTCTTTGCACATGTTTCTCAAGTCAGTACTGCTATTAGATAAGTCTTAAATTCCATAATGTCTAAACAAAAAATTGTTTTTAACAATTGTAAAGCATAATTGGGTAACAAAAAGCCAAACAATCTCAAACAGGGTACTCAATCATGTGGCTATACACTGAGGAACAAATAGAACATGGAGATGAAGATATAGAGGATGAATATTTACATATACTCGTAACCTGCAACACACTTCAAGTTTTAAAATTGGACTTACTTGGGACCTGTATGTGTCATCATATACATGCAGGATTTAGGAGATTCTAAGTGACAGGATTGAACAAATTGTTGAAGCTTTAATACCTTCATTATATACTCAACATTTCATTGTACTTTCTACAATGTGCACAATAATTCATACCATAAAAACACAAAGGTAAAATCACCAATTAAATCCAAATTACAACATAATAATATTACAATATCTCTGGAATGAAAATCATAAAGTGTACATGTAAATAAAAATCTAAGTTTGCTACATTTGTTCTTGTTTTAAGACATGTTTATAAACACTATAATTATAGTCATATTTCAATTTCAGTCTGCATGAATTCCTCTTTGCAGTTGTATTGCTAACTACATAGACAAATAACAACATAGACAAACCATAAAAACATGTATAATTCATGTTGCCCACATGACATACAATAATCTCTCTTTTTTAAAAAAAGTTCTACATCTGAAGATTAATGTACATGTATCACTTTACTTTTCTTACCAATACACATAATTCATCATAAAATCATTACATCCCCCCCCCCCCTCTCTCTCTCTCTCTCTCTCTCTCTCTCTGTCTCTCTCTTAAACACACACAAAAACAGATCCTTAAAAATATTGTCCATTCACTAAGCTAGAAGGGTATTAACTCTGTGTTTACATACATGAATTAATGCCCTTCTGGCTCTCAGCAGATGATACACTGAGAGATTGTTTGCTTTTCAACAAAAACAATATCAATTTTAAAATACATCCTAGGTTATTCCTTGTTACCTTTCAATTAACAATAAACAACATAATTATATTAAAAAACAATGCACAATAATAAAGTATCCTTTGTGCGCTCTATAATGATTGACAAAATACCAGTGATCCAGACTAAGTATTGTTTCTTGATGTTCAGATTCATTTTGCGTGTGTGTGAGGTGTGTGTGTGGGAGGGGGGGGGGGTCTGCATGCTAAACAGGCATGTCTTAAGATTTGTTACATTATGCCTACATACATGTACTCTTTGTAATACATCATGCACAAAGACATGTTTGCAAGATGGTATTATCATAACATACAATATACCAGTTGAATGTACTTACAATCTGTGCATGGGCAGATAAAGCTTTCAGCTAACTGCAAAGTACCATAGTACAACATTATGTATTTGATTTGAATATATCCGAACTGATCTATTAATACCTCGTCAACAAAATAATCTGTGCAGTTCTTCCACAAGGCAAATCTTCCATTTGTTCAATTCGGCTCTATTTGATACCTCAAGCACAGAAAAAGATAATATGAATTATACGACAGGAATAGTGAGCTAGTTCATTCTGGAGATTTCCAACGCTCAAAAAAGAAAACATTTGCCCACAAGACCCATGATTAGACATAACTCTTTTTCAAGAAAGAAGTATTTACATGAGAAGATTTCACTAGCTCGTATAATATATAATGATGCAATTTCAAATAAAATAAGGTCTTGTGGCACTCTTTCATAGATTTCTTGCACTCATCACCTGATATTCAAAGTTATCAATAAACATGATTGATATTTACTTCATCAAATGATGTAAGCAGATGAAAAAAAGCAAAATACTTAGTACTAATCTTTTGTAACATTTTAAATCCATTCTTTATTGGTACTTTTTTTTTTTCTTCGACGTCAACCGAGATCAGAAAATATAATCCTATGTGATCAATCTAATCTATGATAAAGTTTGATATTAGAAATTGAATATCGATATTGACCGTTTTCGACTTGATGAATTTAAAGCACCGTTAGCAAAACATATGATTTTCAAGAAGTGAGTGGTTTTACCAGTCCTGAAATGTGCAATACCCTACGTTGTCACTCATCAGGTTGAATCATAATTCTGGTACGAAAAATATAGAATTTTCATCTATTTTGTCGGCTAAATTAGCCGACTGCCATGAAAACAAAATATTAAAAGTAAACAATTAAAATTGCACCAACATATTCAAAATTACTTATCAAACTCTGACTTGTGTGTTTCAAAGTAAATCATCAGAAAACAGGAGGATTTGGTGATTTTGGTCATTGTTTCATGCTCATATTTAGTCCATGCAATTTTGAAACCTTTGGTGATGTTTAACAGGACACTTTTCCTCTCATTTTTCCACTTGATATATTTCTGCAACTAAACTACATTTACAAAACCCTTTCAATTGGCCCCTATCCAAAGCCACAACCATGCATTTTCAAACACAGGAATATTAATTCATCTAATGCAGACAAAATGCCATGCCTGTGCTGTTTTGCAGTATAAGTAGTGAATGCACCAACTTGAAATAAATAAATAAGTTAATGATGTATGTATAATGTGCCGAAACTTAAAAACAGTGCTCATATGAATAAACAACGACCCTATATCACACATTGACCAAAGAGTTCTTGTTTTTCCTTTTCACACCAAATGCATAATGAGGGCCATTAATATAAATGCAAATATGACATTTAGATTGCAAATTATCTAAAAAATGACTTTAAGTAGTGGAAATAAAAGTAGAATAAAGCCGTGTGTGAAAGGTTGACAAATGTCTAGGAAGCCTACAAGTAGAACATTCAATTGGTGTAAAAGGAAGAAGAAAAGAAAAAAAGAGAAGTTGGATCCGTGAAAAAACTTCCTCATGAACTGTTCATTTATTATCTACAGAGGATGTATGTGTGTATGTGTATGTACGTGGATAACCATGAACTTTTAGCTGTACAATGATACCTCTACACACACAAGAATCATACAGAGTGATCAAATGAGACAAATCAGACCCAGAGCTTTGGACACAAAAAAGAAACGGAACAGATTTTGTTCATACAATATCTTGACAAAGGCTACAAGAACCAGCACATTTTGTATAGCCTAGACGAAAGCAAATTCACTTATTTGTTAAAATAATACTTATTTTTCATCTTTTTCTACCGTTTGTTACCTTTATATTTCTGCATTGCATCATACTTTGTTTTGTGACAGTCATAAAAGTAGACATCGATCTTTCACATCATATCATAATGTATATCAAAATAGACTTGGCTAGTACAATATCACTCTGAGATAAACAAACACATTGTTCACATAAACATAGACACCATCTGTGCACTATGGCTAACCAAAATGGACGCATCCAGCCTTCCTCGATTTGTGAAGATGGCGATGAGAGGAAGGAGTCTGCCTAACCTTGGTCGCTGGCCGCTTAGTACAGACGCTTTTCAAACCTGTAAGTAATAAGAGAAGAATGTAGCACGAGGATTAAGACCAGGGGGGTGTTTCACAAAACTTGTCATTAGTGACAAATGACAGTTTTTGTTATAAGCTACTGAAATCCTTACTTCTGATTGGTTATCAACAGATTTGTCACTGATTTTTGTCATTTGTCATTGGAAAAAGGCTTTGTGAAACAGGTCCCAGATATCAAAATGTTATTTATTAGAACTATGTTACACCATTGTTCCCATAAATATTAAAAACAGACAGGACAGTCCATCAGTGAAAAGATAAAGCATTAAAAGGAAGAAGAAAAAAAATCTGAAAAAATATACAGAACACATAATTGATAACAAGTCCATAGCTTCCTCAAATCATTTAATTTTGATTCCTGAACTTTTCAAAGAAAATATAAAAAGTTACAGAGTATATGTATCCTGTTTGATATTTCTTATGGAAGTTGCAAATAACCTAGCCGTAAAAAGAAATCAGAGACAACTTACGAGTGAAGACTGTGAACACCGCCCTCTACTTGAGCTGAAGGTGACCTTCTCTCAAAGCGAACTTCGCCAGAATACATCTTTTCTCTGGGAGAGAGATTGGATGATAGGAGATAAAGAGTAAATATCTGATCACATGGATTGTCTCTCCCTTATCGATCTCAAGAATAATGATTTCACAGAGATAGAGAAAGAGCTAATAAATGTTCTCTACGCTTCCTTTGGTACTGTACACATGAGTGAACAGAGACAAAATTACAATTTTTGTAAACATAATTCCCCCCCCCCCCCCGAACTCTGGATTAACGGCATCGTGTGATCATGTGATATGGTGTAATATTGAAGCCCTACAAAAGTTGCGCTTCAAAATGATCAAGTGGTGTCTCAAAAAAGTAAAAATCTTTGAGTGACTGGTTTTACCATACTCGTTTTCCCCAATAGACTGTAGTGTTATGAAAAAAATATCTTGATATTCAGACATGCGATCAGCTTGTAAAAGTCATGGGGTTCCTGACTGACCTACAGGTTTATAATTATCATTGCAGCATGAGCTAAATCCAGGATTATGTTTCACCCAATCCCTTTAAGCAGATGTTTTCAACCCATTGACTACTGAATTCCCTGATTTCCATAGGAGCCACCACGATCCCCAAGGTAATTGGTTAATTTTATACTTCAAGATAAATAAGCTCAACAAATTGTGATCCGTTTGTTGCCATACAAATGATTAAATGAAATCTTTATTAAACTGACAGATGTTTTGTATATTATCTGTTTACTGCTCTTACCTTAGAACGGTGAGGCTTAGTGCTCCAATGTCTTGGCAGCCATGTTGGATTCCTGCAATGAGATATGGCACAAACTTGTGGATAGAACCCTTGTCCACGATGGACCCTGAAACACCCTGGGCAACCTTCAGCTTGTCACGCTCACTGAAACAAAGAACACAGAATTAATCATAATAATCTGTTCTTGTAAAGTGCACAACACATTATAATATAACGTCCCTATGCGCGTCCAAAGAGGTTTAGCTCTAGGAGTCGTTATCAGCACACAGTGCATTTCAAGGAATAATCCTACAAGGTATCCATTTACCTCACCTAATTGAAGTGTGGCAAATGTAGATTAACGTCTTGCCAAAGGATGTTAGTGTTGTGGCAGGGATTCGAACCACGAACATTGTGGCTCAGTCTGTAGACTTATCAACTGGATCATAACACCTCTACATTGATTAATAATAACATTTATAATAAGAATATCAAACATTTCAATCACTGCATCCCATATCAACTGAAGAAGAGAAATGATAATTTCCATTGCATTTTAAAGAAAAAGAAGAAGATTTGGCTCCAATTTTGTCCTCAGATACCATGATTCAAACTCAAACAATATGTTCAGCATTCCAAACCATACAAAGATATTTTCATAATCAAGAGCTACTTTCCATCTTCACATACTTCTTTCATAGACAGGGATACCAGTTCCTTTCATCTAATGAGCTCATATGTACTGAACAATATAAAGCCGGATTATGGGGAGGTACCAGGGCCTAAAATCAGGCTACAGGCTACAGCCTAAAAAATGACATCCCTTTGTAGAGTTTCGAAGGCAAACTGCCCTAATGCCTCAGTCACACCTTTGTGTATTTTGCTTGCGCATTGCTGCGTATTTATGGTAAGCCGTTTTAACATTTATTCCTATTTCTTGAAGAATTACCATTGCTTTACAACAGAAAATCTCCTCGATATCAAGAAATAGGAATAAATGTTAAAACGGCTTGCCATAAATACGCAGCAATATGCAAGCCAAATACCCAAAGGTGTGGCTGAGGCAAAAGCTCACATCTCCTTTTTATTTTGTGGCCTACCTGAAGTATCTCTTGGCAGAGGACTGGTTCTTCTCCATGGCATCCAACGATCCCATGCCACGGTACTTCTTGAGTCGGACTCCATCAGAGAAGAAGTATTCTCCAGGAGCTTCAGTGGTTCCCGCCAGAAGGCTTCCCATCATCACTGAATAACACAAAGTGGACAAAGGATTCAGGTAATTAGCCAAATGGAGAGAAGAAGAAGAAGCAAATGGCATAAGAGGATCCCATTCTACTGTACTTTGAGTTGGACCCTATCAGAGAACAAGAATTCTCCAGGAAAAGTCAATTCCCTGGTTGCTTTATACATGTAGTTACACAAGCATACACACGGTTTCTTAGCAGTCAGGTAAAACAGTTATTGAACATCTTTCACACAAATACTACAAAATCTATGACTCTTGTTGCAGTACAATGCTGATCCACACCATATTTCATGAAAAATGATTTAAAGGCAATACACTACCTACAAACTTATTCAGTAAATGAAATAGAGACAAGTTCTGTAAAAACACTCACCTGAGGAAGCGCCCAGTGAAAGAGCCTTTGTGATGTGACCGACCGTCGTGATGCCTCCGTCGGCAATGATAGGTACCCCACAGCTCCTGGCATACTGGGCTACTCTGTACACTGCTGTGCCTTGGGGACGACCAACAGCCATTACTGGAAAGCAGAACAAAAACAATAAAATAACTGATTTAGTTGATAATTCATCATCCTGCCAAGTAAAAAAAAAAGAGTTCTTTTACTGCTTTGCCTGCTGAGAACTACAGGGGCATCGACTAGCAGCCCTTCTCACTCACTCTCAGCAGGCAATCTTTATGTTTATTTTAAGTACAGGTATCTACATTGTAAGTACACAATATATATATACACACATGCCAACATTTACTTTACTGCGACAAAAAAGCAATTAACAAAAAAAACGAAAACAGGTCATAGTGCAAAAGGTTATTAAACCATAAAAGGACTGATACACTGTCTAAAAAAATAAATAATGAATTTTTAAGATAAATAAACAAAAATATCGGTTGGGCCATATTGTACACAGACATACATTTTGATTACCGGTATTCAAATGTATCTTAAGGATCGTAATCTCTTTCGGTTTTACTGAGTGCAAAGAAGACATAAAAGTTGCAGCACATATACAAGAACCATGCATATTCATTAGCAATAGCATGCAACGAAAGTAAGATAATAATGGTGCTGCCAAAATATGATTACTTTCCATAACAACATATAGAACAAACTAGATGGAATTCGACTGCGCGCAGTCGAAAATGATGCCTCCGTCATAGAGCAATTTTACAAACCGAAACGGAAAATTTTTTCAAATTCAAGTTCAATTGTAATCCATTAACATGTTCTCAGAATATCGTGATTACAAGCAATTTCTCATATACATATATGACCCTTTGATCTTTGACCTCATGACCCTAAAATCTACTCAGTTCATTGGCTCTGCAAGATTTCCTGAGTTAAATAGTAATCCATCTGTCAGTTCTAATGAGAATGCGTCCACAAGCTATTTTTGCATACATAATGAGCCCATGACCTTTGATCTTATGAACCATTCATTGGCTCTGCAAGATACATAAATGATCTAAGTTTGGCAGGAATCCATCAATCTGTTCTAATGATAATACGATCACAAGCTATTTTTGCATACATAATGAGCCGCATGACCTTGACCTTTACCTCATGACCCCAAAATCTAATCAGTTCATCAGCTCTGCAAGTAACATACATGACCTAAGTTTGGCAGGAATCCATCAATCGGTTCTTGAGATAAGGCGATCACGAGCTGTTTTTGCATACACAATGTGCGCTGTGACCTTTGACCTCGTGACCCCAAAATCTAATCAGTTCATTGGCTTTGCAAGATACATACATGACCAAAGTTTGGCAGGAATCCATCAATCGGTTCTTCAGATAACGCGATCACAAGCTGTTTTTGCATACATAATGAGCCCTGTGACCTTTGACCTTTGACCTCGTGACCCCAAAATCTAATCAGTTCATCAGCTCTGCAAGATACATACATGACCAAAGTTTGGCAGGAATCCATCAATCGGTTGTTCAGATAACGCGATCACAAGCTGTTTTTGCATACATAATGAGCCCTGTGACCTTTGACCTTTGACCTCGTGACCCAAAATGTAATCAGATTGTTTTCCTATAGTGATACACACTATCACTAAGTTTGAAGTTTAAATCTCCAGTGGTTCTTGAGATATCATGATAACAATCTCAATGTATGGAATTTCATAAGTTGACCTCTGTGACCCTTGACCTTTGACATACGTGCTCCAAAATCTAATCAGATCGTCTTCCTATGGTGATACATACTATCCTTAAGTTTGAAGTTTAAATCTCAAATGGTTCTTGAGATATCGCGCTAACAAACTCAATACAAGGAATTTCATAAGTTGACCTCTGTGACCTGTGACCTTTGACCTACGTACTCCAAAATCTAATCAGATCGTCTTCCTATGGTGATAAATACTATTCCCGAGTCTTAAGTTTAAATCTTAAATGGTTCTTGAGATATTGTGATAACGGTCAAACGGGACGTACGGACGGACGGACGTACGGACGGACGGACGTACGGACGGACGGACGTACGGACGTACGGACGGACAACCCGAAAACATGATGCCTCCGGCACCACCTTCGGTGGCGGAGGCATAAAAAGTAAATTTGAGGAAAAGTTTGTATGAATGAATGAACAAAATGTGGAACATGCACATGTAGAATTTATCAGAAACACGTAAAAAACAACAAAATAATGATAACAACTTAATATAAACGTTCATTTCACTGTTATCTTCTTAATCTTATTGTGAAATTCACAGACGCAACTCATAAACAAGGAATGAATGTAAATAAATTTTAAAAAACTCACTTCTAAACAATACTATTGCTACTAAAAAATGAAAGTACATAAAAATTTCTTTCACTCTGTTCTATAAATATACTTCCCTAAACACTCTTTTTATTCTCTTTCTCACTCTTTCACTCTCTCCTACATGACCCTTCATAAAATCAATACAAGTTCAAAATCATTTTTCTTCTTGCTGTTGGTAGAGAACGATTTGCTTTGTTTGCATTACTGTGTTCAAAGAAAAGACATCTACTAAACACTTCTCTAAAATAAGTAAAATAGAAAAAAATAAGTAGAAAAGAATAATATACACAAAATAACAGATTCATGCACGTTGCAAAAGGCATTATGATCAGAACAAAAAATGAATGTACATGTACATGTACAAGAAAAAATCTACTTTCAAAACTAAATGACTGAAACACATCTTGGAGTTGAAGAACTACAAATTATATGACTTTTTTTAAAACAATAATTCCACCACTTTATCATATGTAGCCTAACCATAAAAGTGCAGTAAGAAAATCTGTAAAAGAGCCAGATGGAATTTTTGTTAAAGCCAAAGGATAGCCATACACTTGCCGGTTCAGACAATGATGAAAATGTAAAGCCATGCAACTCATAGGTTAAATGGTACAAAGGTTCAAATCTCCAAGACCGTAGCATGCGCATGGTCGTGTGATTTTTTTAAGCATGTGAAAAATTGATTGTCCCCATTTATGTTTTGTTTAAGAATGTCACAAATTATAGATTACATCTAATAAGTATTCAACACAGGCCCTAATTCAACCATAACATCAAATTCACAAGGGGTATGAATAATTTAGTTGTAACTGAATATATGCTTTTTTTGGTCCAATGTGGAGGTTTTGGAACAATGGTTAAAAGTTCACAGACTATGATTTGAATTTAAACCCCATTAAAGATCCAGGCCTTTATTATCAATATGGACAATTTCCAATGTAAAAAGCTGGAAACCCATTCATTATTAAAGGTATGGGCTCATGATTAAAATAAGGTTGGCATACATGTATGTACAAAGTGGTGTGTGACTAGTAACTAAGAAATCATGCACAACTGCTTTATATACATGATATGCATGAATGACATTCAACAAATTCATGACATAAATTTTACATTTATGCAGTGAACAAGCTCCAATTGGTATGTGGCAAGTCTACATGTATACAGACTGGAGCAATGCTTTGATTATCTACACATTGCACAACTCTTCCTGATGCTAAATGACCCTTGAATCACCCCCCCCCCCCCCCTCCCGGACCCCTTTTCATCATGTAACATCTCTTCTTACTTCCTTATTTCTTTTTCTGACCTACACCTAATGTTATTGAGGTTAACTTACATCTCAAGGTGATTCTTTTATAAACAATAATTATTTACCTCCAAAATTGTGAATACTTTATTTTCAATGCATCCTGAACTCGAGTACAGGAGATGACTACACAATATGCTTAATAGTAACTGTTACAGCTCCTGAAACAACCTAATAACAAATACTGCTTTGTAATCAACCTTTTGTTTAAATTGTAAGTCTCTGTTTAAATCACCCACAATTGTGATGAAATATGTTTCTCGGCTATTCTGATACTACATGAAACACCAAGAAAATTTGACCTACCAGTTTGTAAAATACGTCAGATATAAGCACTTAAAACTCCCTCCTTCCTAGGCTGTGAGCTTTGTATTTAATTAATGCAAGGATCAGGATTTCCAAGGGTCACAGCATCAGGTCAAAAGTTGTGCAATTGACCTCTAACCAGTGAGAATACAGTGTTTCAACCAAATGAACAGTTTTGGAACTTTGTTCAAAGAGCTATCAACTAATTTGTTATGTAATTGTATTTTTTTAACACAAGCGAAAACACTTTACAGGCCTGCAATACACCTAAATGAGTCAAACTCTCCTACATATAAGTGTTTAAGGAGGCAACCTTCCAAGCATGGTGCTTTTTTAACTAATTTATTTCAAAATATATTCTAATTTGAACAAGCAGCTTTTCAAGATAGCATTAAATTTTGTTCAAGTTTGGCATATTTTTTTCATTTTCTTAGATGAATTGCGGATCAAACCGTAATCACAATGAATATCATCTGCCAAGAGCCATAGGGGTTTTTAATCATTGCATTTTACCTTAGAAACGCCCTTCTGCTCTCAGCATATATGAGATACATGTACAGCCTTACACACAGAATTTTCAGATAGAAATCCATATTTTTTCACAGTTGGTGCATATTTTGAAAGGATTTACCATGAACAAACTTTGTGGTAGGTTTTGAATGACAACAGTGCTGAAAAAATGGGCCTGAAAGAGGGATTTGCTTGTTTTGAATATGGTGTACACATACATTTTTCACATTAATATTTTACAAATTCTTCTAAAGCCTTGCTCAGATAAGCAGTGGTAAACCAAGGCAGTTTCTTTTTTAATTATGAGGAAAATTGCAATAGGCTTCACATTTGCTTTCATGTAACACTGGAGCTATTCAAGTAAATACGCGTAGGACTTTTCTTTCGCACACTTGTCATTCATTTACATTTTTTTTTTTAACGCAGCATTTTTTTCCAAAACTGTGCATTTGGCTTGGATTGCAGCACGGTCTATGACATAGCATATACAAAACAGAAAAAGCAAGAGGGTGTTTTAACAACTACTGTGTAGCGGAGGCAACAGACTTACAGGTAGACGTTAAGTCACCCTCCGGCCTACAGGGCCTACTACTAGGAGCTCGTGCTGCCCGTGCTGGTCACGCAACGAAGAATTCCGTGACAGATTTGTTTAAGATTGTGTTAGCGTAAAAGACGATCGGTTAAAAGAGGAAGAAATTGATTGAAGAAAGGATTAGGGGAAAATATTAGGGAGTTATGAAAAGAAGAGTTAGTCAACATTGAATCAACACAATGTCATTAATCTATTAAACATGAATGTTTTAGTCGGTAGAAGTTAGTGAAGGAATCAATCTAAAACTGTCAATGGCATGACTAGTAGGACAGGTTCTGATGTATTCTTGAGTGACAACATGTAAAGAAATAAAAAGGACTATGTCTCTACCTCTAAGTTTGTTGCCTTTGGCAGAAAGCACTTTAATTTGATATTCAATGCAGCTTGCATCCATATTAATATATTAAGACAAAAATGATCCATGCAATAAAAAAAGGAAGATTCTTTTACTTTGAAATGAAAAATGAGATGAAAATTACTGTTAATTCTAAGAAAATTTCATTCCAAAAAAGGTCTTCCAAGTTTCAAAGACATTTAAAAAATGAGGAATGTAACATGAAGACTATGCTGCATTTTTATTCATCTACATGTTATTACTACATGTGCAGGATCAAACAAATGTTCATAGGGTGACTTGACACCTGACATTTGCTCCAGCAGCAATTGCCCCCAAGGCTTATTTCATCTTAGATGCAGGGTGAGGGTTGCAATCGGATTTTAGGTTCGGACTAGAATAAGCGTTTGGTCTAGAGTTAAAGTATTAGTGAGGATAAAGGTTGCGGAGCATTCGTTGCTGGAGCATGTGCCATAGAACTGTACGTATTATTAAAATGAAGGACAAGTTTACAATTTCAATGATTCTCAACCTCTACGACGTGCAACCTCCTGTTGTACACCCGTTTCACACCCTTTCATCCTGAAATCCTTCAACAGCGGAACATATTCTCAAACACTTATCTGACTGGAGTTCATTACTAGGCTCTCTCACTTTTACAAAAGCAAAATACGCTTGGACAAGCAACATCCCATGATCAAAATGCCCATTGTATCTAAAGTATCTATAAATGTCATCATCATCATTTATTGAAGTCAGCCTTTTTCCTCTTATGAGGGGTTACTGATTTTGTTACCATGATGACACTCCCTCCCTCCACTTCTTCTCGTCTCAAGGATTCCCTTATTGGCCCAACTTGTTTAGACCAACCTTACTGCTTTCTTTCTGTCTTCCTTTCCCTCTTCTGCCATCCAGTTCAACACTATGCTAAAAGTCATATACATCATGCTCTATACTATATTTACTTAAAAGAAATTGTTGTTTGCTGTGAATCTACAAGGACTATGAAAACTATGAGAATAATTATGTTCAAATGACTTTGAAAAGTAGAATCACCTCTAAATAAACATAACTATCCTGCAGAAATATCTCAAATCGAAAGCCTAAACGGCCCACGTGACTGACAAAGCAATGAATTATAAGAGCAAAGATAGACAAAATATGAAAATAGCAAAGTTAGTGAAATACACCACAAATGTGGATAGAGAAGAGGATAGAAATAGATCAGCAAAGAAAGGGTCTTGAGGGCAGAAGCCGGAAATACAGGTTTTCCCTTTCAAAACAACCTAATCCTATGGGTACTTGCAATTATTTTCCTCCTATTTGATCCCCCCCCCCAAGTTGCACCCTAAATAATTAGCAAAGCATTAACCTTTACAACATTAATTATTTGACCACCTGCTTTAATTAGACCATACAATACCAACATAGGAGTTCTATGTCAGCTGAGTTGTAGCATCACCAGGAAAAGAAAGGTAATGTGGAGGTTTTGTATGAAAGAATGCAATTCTTTTGTGAGCATGTGCTGAGCTGGGGGAAGTTACACACCACTGTCTCTTGTTAGCTCACTACTGATTGATAGATGTCACAAGAATGAATAGGGTGGAGTTTAGCAGGTCTGAGAAAATTATCTTTAAAAATATTTAAAAATTATCAAATATATTTAGATGTTTGAATAACAAAATAGGAGTTGTATGCATCCCTGCACATCAACAGGAATCAACTTATTTTTGGATGCCACCGACCCTTAATAACCTGGTTGCCACTGGGTCAGCCATAAACACTGTGACCTGGATTCCTGCCTGTTTACCAAATTGTTGTAAATTTCACAGTAGTCTAAAATTCATTTGCTGTAAAGTTCATTGTGTTTGAAAGTAAATTTCACTGTTTGATTGACAGGTGGAATGAGGAGAGATGCCTTGCTTGTCGATTCCTTGTTCATTTTATTAATTAAAATTCCTTGCTAGTATGTTACATCCTGTGCCCATGCTATTGTAGATTTCAGGATTTCTTGGCCAGAGCAGCTATTCAAATGAGTGCACAGTTCAATCCTTAAAACTTCAGCTTCTTTCTCTCTCTCCCATTTATTTGATTCTCTATTACTCTGTCCCTCTTTATCTCTACCTTTCTTCCCATCTCTCTTTCTCTCTCACTTTCCTCCCCCCTTCCTCTGTCTGTCTTTCCCTCCTCTCCCCACTCGCTGACAAATTCTCTATTTCTCTTTCACTACCTTACTCTCTCTCTCTCTCTCTCTCTCACTACCTTACTCTCTCTCTCTCTCTCTCTCTCACTACCTCTCCCACTATCTTTCTCTCTCTCTCACTACCTTACTCTCTCTCTCTCACTACCTTTCTCTCTCTCTCTCTCTCTCTCTCTCACTCTCTCGTTCCTTACCTTCTTGTGTGATGCAGATTGAGCCGCTGCCCATGCCGACCCTCAGAGCATCGGCACCTGCCTGGATCAGATTCTTGGCTTGAGCCACGGTCACCACTAAAATCAAACAAATATAAATAACCCTTGGTCAAAATTGTTAAGCATGTGCCATATCATTGGAAACCAAAGAATTATAATAGAATATATGCAGTGTCAGAAAGATGATAATTCATGTCATTTCATACATTTAGAACTTTGTTCTGGCTCTAAGCAGACAAAAAGTAATAGTTGTTGTAAATGTTCACTTTCATGAAAAATGAAATCTCTCCCTTACATCTATACTCTACTATGAAATCACAAAATTTGCCGTAACCAAAGGTTATCACAGGTCCCTTTCTTGCCTCCAATCCCTAGTTTCTTCAGGTTTAAATTTGTTGCAAGAAATAAAATTCAAAGGCTCATAATCCTAATCAAAATAACTGAACCAGCATTGAATCAAATGTCTCTGTATACAGACCCCCATTTTGTGCATCCTTGAATGGTATGCAGGCGCGTACGCAGGGGGGGGGGGGGAGGAGGGTTTTACCTGAAACCCCCCCCCCCTTGAGTTTTTTTTATGTGTATGATTTCCAGGAAACCCCCCCCCCCCCCTTTTTGACATATTTTAAAGATAAAGTTGAGTTCTGGTCATGCGATTGCATCGTAAAAAGAAACGGTTTGGAATCCATCAGAAAAAGTTGGTCATGGAGCATACAAGTATTGGTGTGTACTGCAAGGTTCTGGAGTCGTAAAATGAAATGAAATTTGGCCAAGTCTTGGTAAGTAACGACCACTGTACACAGAAAAATGTATATGGGACTACACAACCATGTGGCATAAAATCGAGCCTCATCTTTAAGCCGTTACTTCTCAAATTTAGAATATAAAGGCATTGAATAGCCATTTTTTTCAGGGAAAATTGTTCTCTGATGTTCTTCCACACTCACAAATTATGCTTCCCCTCTCCCCAGAACTCAACCTTCTCTTTTATTACTGTTTGCTTTCTTGATAGCATTCAGTCCATCACTCACCATTGCCAGCCACCACCTGCAACTCTGGATATTTGGCCTTGGTGCACTTGATCATGCTTACTTGGAAGCTGGAGTTCCCTTGTGAAGAATCCTGCAAATAGAGTAATTAAAAATTCATTGGGGCCATCGTATAGTCTTGGTAACATGTGGATATATAACAAGTGAAACAGATATCACGAAAGTTGGATATTCTCAATTTTTTATGTGATTGACAAGTTTAACATTTAGCTTAATGAATATCTTGTAGAGCTGGAATTATCTTTTGGCCATCTGTTGGAGATGAATTTGAGGATTTCTTTTGTGATCATTATGTTTTTGTTTTTCTTTGTTTGGGGGGGGGGGGTCTCTAAGTTGGATTGTTAAGGAGTACACTTACAAATAGGGATTAGTCTAATAGTCTATGTAACATTTTTTTTTAAAGTTGGTTAAAACAATGAAATTCTTCATCATGTTATGAAGCAACAAACAAACAATGGAGGTCTCAGTTTGTCTGGTTAATACAGGAGTGACAATTTTTATCTTTTTATGACCAATTTGCATAATATTGTTAATTCAATTGCTAACATTGAATGCATCCTAAATTGTACATATACAGATATGCAGATACAAATACAGATACAAATATAAACCTACAGTACATCAGCATTAAAGTTAAATCTATGTAGCCCTTGTTGCAATATTTTTATTATTCTTGCAGATTTTTATTTCTGCAAACTGCAAGCATAGATAAATAGCCCCAGTATGATTGCAAATAAAGGTCTGAATAATGTTACATCTACATAGTATATGCTATATTTGTAATAAACTACATATTAAGCTAAATGTTACCATCCTCTTCTAAATCAACGTAGATACAGTGTATCATGCAGGAGTAAACATTACAAAACAATACACATGCTAAAGTGTTCATTTTAATTTTTAATCCAAAAAATGAAACTACTCCTAGTGAAAGTTAAAAAACCACCTGAAAAGGATAAAAGGAATTTTATAATCTCAACTAAAAAGGAATAGTAAAAGGGCAATTATAAAATTAACCTACAGCTTCAAACAAAATGAGTGAAAAATAAGTCAATATAGTTCTTATAAGCATATACACTGCACTATGTGACATATACATTGTATTATATCTCTACTCTACTCATTGATGTGCTCAAGTTCTTCTTCTTTTCCCCAAAAAATGCAAGTTACAGGTCTTCAAAATATTTGAATTCTGGCAGTCTGCTCTTCCATGTCTGTCTTTCCTTGCTTTGCAAGCTTAACAATCATTCCGACTAGACTGCTCATTAATGTCACAACTCTTGAATGAAGTTCTCAGTAACATGCATAGCTGCTCCAGATTAGTAAGCCATGCTAGTGCACAGTTAATTGTATGTCTACTACCTAATCTTCAGTCCATATTCACCAGCCCACAAGCTTTACATGAGTGCTATAATCGTGTTAGTGCATATAAGAGCCATACTGATTAATGCTATTAACATTTTGCTTTAGACCTATTCTATACAATGAGCATGTCATACTAGTATTCATATGGAGAAGGAAAAAATTACATAAGCCCAGCAACTTATCACCGACTGCTGTTTCCAAAGCAAAAAAAATGTTGCAATTTTTAAATATTCAATGTTTGATTTGAATACTTCCGATAAAAAATAAAAAAGAATCTGGACCATTAGGACCATTCTATGAACTTTCTTGCACATTTAATATTTACAACAACAAAAAATATTAAACAATCAAATGAAATCAATTCAATGTCAAATACTAATATTTTGAAGGGGAGGAGCGGGTTGAAATACCATATACCTGTATATGTATTTTTTATTTTGTTGCAGTGCACTGTGCAATGTACATTATAAATTTACATTTAAACAGGAGCATCATATTGATGTTGCAATTGACCATATTTTCTTTGAGTCTTGGGACATTGTGGTACAATCATTACCCTTTCAGTTCCTGTAAGTTTACAAACAAATATAGTAAATGGAATTTGAATTCTTCGTTTAAAATAGGAATACAATATTTTCAATGGGAACAACATTAAAAAAATATAATTCCAATTCAGTAATAACTAATATAAGAAATAGATGCACAGTAAATGCATTAGTATACAACTGGCATTAGTGGCAGCATTTGTTTCCCAAAGAAGGTTCAGCTGTTCCCATGACAAAATACATTAATGATACTTCTACACTTCTACTATTGCTACTACTGCTACTAATACTTATACAGTCAAACCTGTCTACAGCAACCGCCCAAGGGAAACACAAAAAGTGGTCTTTGTAGACAGGTTCCTTTAGTACACGTTTCAATGAGAAACCATTTTCAAGGGAAACAAAAAGTGTGCTTGTTGTAGACAGGTGGTCACTAAAGCAGGTTTGACTGTACTTCTGCTGCTACTGCTGCTACTACTACTACTACTATTACTATTACTATTGCTGCTGCTGATGTTGCTTGCTGATGCGACTACTGCTACTGCTTTCCATGGTGAGCAGTTGTTAGTTGGTTTGTACCTTTCATGGGCCCCCTTTCATGAAGCATTACAACAACTGTAAGTCATAAAGACTGTCACTAGTCATTCTCATGTTTCATACACAGCGTGAAATTAGAAATTAGTAGCAAATTTTGTTTTGAAGTCAAATGAAAAAATATTCTTGAATCTTAACTTTCACTCAATCCCAAGCCAACAAAAGGAATAACAAATCAAGGTTAAAATATGGTGCTGGTATAATTTGTTTATAAGAGAGTGGATGCTCTCATATTGACAAACCAGATGGAATAATTTCTGAGGATTACAACGATAATTGAGTGAACTTCTTAAGAAGATGTTTGTGTGGCAGTCTTAAGACTTGTCAATGTTGTACATTTTCATGAAAGAGGACGAGTCTATGGCAATGTTCGTCACACTCACCAGACGATTATGTTTTTCGTGATCTAGATCTCTATCCATCTAGGATTGAAGTAAGGGGGCAGGGGTTTTAACATGAATGCCAAATGTTGACTAGTACAAATGGATCACGTCTAACCTTCTTATGCCATACAGGATACACAACAATGATAAATGAGCCATGATGATGCAAACAGACACCTGCTGAGTCCCCTCCCCCAACACCCCACGGTAACACCAAAGGAAAACTATTTATTTGGACAACTACCCATTTGCAGTTACTACCATCAATACAATCACTAATCTGCCGCCTGGAGAACTAACCCTTGACCCACTAATTCCCTTTTAATTCAGCATGGACAATCACCCTGGCAGGATTACTCCTATCCAGACATATTTTCTCTTGAAAAATATTATCATACCTAGCTTTTTCTAGAGGATTAATTATGTTGTTGTAGTACCGGTAGCCATTGTCCAGGTTTGGTTATTGACTGAGAGGCAGTTGCTCTGATGGTAATTTACCAAGTGGGGCCAATTGTTGGTAAGTGGTAGGTACTGCATTGATAACCGATCCCGGACTACCCTTGCAAGAAGCACTCCCCAAAACATCCCCATGCACCCACCAGTATCACCAAGTCTTCACAGTCTGTAACATCACGTCTGTCAAATCGCAAAAGCTTGCTTTGCGACCTAGGCAACACTTAAGAGGCTTCGAATGAATCGGATGTTGTTGTGCACATCCCAAAAAGCTTTCTTCCCTATTTCCTAAAAACACTTCAAGAGGGACTAATAGGCTTTTCATCTGTTTTGGGGGCCTGATACTGATAACATCAGCAGTACCAGTATGACTACATCTTCACCACTTGAAACACTAGGCATTATCAAGTCAAAATTGTACGCAAATAAAAGCTTGAGTATTGGATTGATTAATAGTTCTGAACATGAAAGTTATTAACAAAAGAAGGTTTATCCTAGTCTTGTCCTCGTCTCAAAGAACCATTAACATCCTCACTCACCAGTATGACTACATCTGGACCAGTAAATCCAGTCTATGCTTCTGGACCAGTAAATCCAGTCTATGCTTATCTTCCTTTTCAGTCCCAAAATGCTTAGAGAGGGACCAGCAGGCTTAACCTGCTATCAGCCCCAACTCAAGGACTATCTAAACATCACCACTCACCAGTATGACTACATCTACGCCAGCCTGGACCAGAAGGTCAAGTCTGTGCTTGTCCTCTTCCCTGGTACCGATGGCAGCCCCACACAGCAGTTGCTTCCTGGGGTCTTTGGAGGCTAGGGGGAACTCCCTGTGTTTCTTGAGATCCGTACGGGAGATGAGAGAGACCAGCTCATCCTTCTCGTTAACAATGGGCAGCTTGCCTGAGAGAGAGAGAGGGAAGGAGGATCATGACAAAACCATTCAAAACATCAACATTCAACCAGGGTCTTGTAAGTGGACATATTTTGTAAAAGGCAAACCCTCTCCTTTAATCAGAGTAGATTCTTGTGGGAAGATAATCGACAGTAGAACAGGACCGTGGGTAAAATATTGCATTTGCTGAAGCCTAGTACTTAATAGCAGCAATTAGCATACAAAAGAAAACAATTTTTTGTTTAAGTCTTGTAGTCCCGTATAATCCCCATCATTAAGTGTTAATATTTTGATAGTGATAGATTATTCACATTTTCTATTTTTCTATGATAGTAACTTTGTCATGGTCCCATGTACACTCTTTGATGTGCAGCTGAATCAATAGACCAGCTTATGGTCGTTTTAATCTTTCGCCCTTTCCCAAATGCGCGCGCGTGTATGATATGCGTACTCCCCACGAATTCACCTTCCCCGAAAGGTTGTGTGTCCGTACGTGTATATTATGGTGTACTAGTATGTGAGCGAGCACGGATCATGTAGAGAACAGTCCAGGCAGTGGACTACTGAATCAAGTACCCTGCCATGCCAAAGGCTGTATCCTTTGGGGCATACTAATTACATGTTACCTTTCTTGGCTTTCTGCAGAAGGTCATTAGCTTGTTTCAGAGTTACATTAGCTGGAGCAACCACCAGATCCTCTCTACAGGTCATGGCAGTACTGAGCGGCTTCACGTAACTTTCTGGTTTCAAGAAGTCAATATCGCGAGCCGTGACGATTCCTAAGAGTTTACCACCCAGTCTTCCGGTGTCTGTGATGGGTATGCCTAAAAGAAAATAGTATGAAACAGATATTATATATTATATGTTATATGAAACTGATATTCAAAATACGAAAAGAGAAGTTGCAAGATGGTTCATTGGCGTATCAAACAACTATGACCTCTGGAAGATTACTCCCTGAGACACCTACTATTGAGGACTCCCTTGGACAAATAATCATTTAGGACAGCTACCCATTTAGGACCATTACCACTAAACCACACAGTTAATTGTCCTAGCGGTTATTATCCATGCAGTATTTGTTAGATTGTAAAGATCATTAAAGGGCTACTTATCACAGTTAATATCATAAGCAGGTTCAAGAATATAGGTAATCTAATTGGTCAGATGACACTACGTGAACGTGCATTATTCACTCCTACTGTGCAAGTTCCCATCAAAAAGTGATAACCTACGGCTAAAAGTGATAATGCACAGCTGCTTATACAAAATTAAAGTCGCGATGAAATGCACGTAGTTTCAAATGGCAAGGACTAATGCGCACACCAACACATGCATTACATAGTTTGGCTGAGCTTGTGTACTGTGATGTCATTCAATGCAAATGGCAGCCTCCATGATTGTTTGATCTTTGGAATTTCAATCCAATTTTTTTGCTTATTTCTCAACTTTATATTCATATTATAGACCCCTTTTTAAAACAAATAATTCATGTTTTGAATTTTGTACATTAGTGATATGCACTGCACTTGGTTAAGTCACAATGAGCGGATAATAAATTTGACATGTCTTGTTCATTATCTGACTGTGCAATCAGAAACATGAATTATTACTTGTATACTGGTCGGTTATTGTCCAATGAACCTGGGGATTAACAGGGATGTCCTGTATACATCATTACAGCTGTCATTATTGTAGTTTCTAGCTGTTAGTCTACGTCTATATTGCAAGTCTCAAATTGCTACATACCGACTATAAACTACCATGCCCTAGACATTCCTTCATTCTTCTACGTAAAATCATGCATCTTTCTTTCATTTTCATGAGGTTTAAGTAATTTCAAATATTTCAGTTATCCTACCAAAGCATTTTATACTTGTTTTTCTCTACTCTATGAACCCCAAATATCATCCAAGACTATATTATGCTACATTTAAATTATGTTGTGATGTCTCAGCAAACAATTTCAATAACATAACCTCAAACTTCATATTGTTCAATTTGCAACCCACCACCTAAAAAAATGTTTTATTGGCACAGCACTCATTAGGAATATACACTTCAAAAGATACAGCAAAAAAAGCCTCTCCCATCAAGAGATCTACTGATACACTTGTAGAAATAACTTAATTGTCACATAATTCATCCATGTTTTAAGGTAAAGATCAGTTTTGGAAATGCCCCCCTCTCAAAAAAATTTGGACCTGATAGATATCGCGCACATGTCGCGTGGTCCCATATACATCTTTCTGTGTACAGTGCTTGTAACTTTACCAAGACTGGGCCAAATTTCTTATCATTTTTATGATTCCAGAACCTTGCAGTACACACCAATACTTATATGCTAGATGATCAACCTTTTCTGATCGATTCCACAACTTTTCTTTCACAATGCAATCGCATGACCATAACTGGTCTTTATAAACAAGTCTTATGTGTTTCATGAATGGACCAGGCAACCCCACAGATATTTGTCTGATATATCACTAACCATTCAGAATGAAGTATACATTGTGTTTTTTGACTAGCAGTAATATTATCAGAACTCCAGATAACTTTTATGATGGATATATATTATTGTGTATCATATAATGATATGTAATCATATTTTCCATGTAAAAATAAATATTATTTCACAAGCCTAATTGGGCTTTTTACGCAATTTTTCCTTTTCATTTCTCAAATTTTGTTCTGCGTTTATCATGTTTGTACTCGAGTCCGATACGATTCATGATGTATTTTTATTTTTAAATTTTATTTTGTTATATTGTATTTATATTATAATATATATAATAACAATAATGGGTTCTTGTATAGCGCCCATGTCAGTCAGATTTGACCCTCCTGCCATAAGGCGCTCTAGCATTTCGAGGAATAAATTCCTACCAGGTACCCATTTTTGCTTTTTTAAATCAATTGGAAATAAAAGTCTTAAATTGAATATCCAATGAATAATAGTCCTCTCATTTATGTAGGTAGCGATAATACACATTTCCGAATCTCTATTATTAGAAAGTGTGCTATTACTCCTAAATATGTTATAAAATCAATCTTCTTATTAAATACACATGGTTGAATAAATCACATTAACTAGAGCCCATGTGTTATAAAGCATTTTTTCTTCTTAAAGTAGCTTCACAGCAAGAGATATGATTAGAGAGGTACCCTGTTGGACTGCTAGCACTTGAGTAACAAACATTAACATTATGAATATATTGGCATTTTCAATGTTTTTGTAGAATAAATTTGTTTTCACTCTGCAAAACTCTAAATGTTAATGGATTTGACCATAATACCCACACCGTTTATACTTCCATTAGTACCTAAATGGAGCTGTGGCTCATAAATACATACATGTACATGTAGGTACTATATTTATTATATGTACTATAATAATTCTTATAGGAAGATACATGTACATGAAGTTAATACACCAAAATCACAGCAAATCAACAAGAAATAACAAAAACAACCCCAGAATTAAAAAAAACTGAAAAATAACCCACAATTTGTAGAACAATTATTATCAGCCTTACGACTAAAAATTAAAAATGAATTGTATTTTCTATATATTTTGCATTCTCCATTTTCAACTCCAATTTTTCAAAGCGATTTGAGGAATGAGCCTCGATAACTATTTTATTGCGAGTGATATCATTTTAAGTACTATGAAAATATAATTAGTTTAATAGTGCAGTGTGCAATCCCTACTATAACAAAATATTGTTTGAAAGTTGGAAAAAACAACTTCATTATCATCAGAATTCAATGACCTTTGTAAAGGTTCCAACCAAGATTGAAAAAAGGGGTTCTTGAAAGATCATAGCACTTTTCTCTGGTAAGTCAGACTTTGTACTTAGGCCTTGAGCATTTAATTGTCTGGTCGATTCGGCGCCTTACAAATCTCATGTATTATTATTATTATTATTCACAGGTGTTTTTGTTTTTGTGTATGTGTTGGGATTTTTTTTCATCAAAACTAAATGGGAAAATATTATTGATATACCTGCATCTTTGGCTAGCTTTTCCCCCAGAATATGCATTGCATGATTTCTCCCCCCCCCCCCCCTTCTTCTCCTTCGATATTGAAAGTACATGTAGTTCTGTGGTATGGTATGGTAATTTACACATCAAAAACTCACATCAGCACACAATGTTACACAGAACCTTCCACATCCCAATATCGATACCAACACAAAAAATATCAAGAATGAATTGAATGGCATCTTGAGACTGCAGTAACATAATTACTGCAGTAACATAATTACAGAACTCAGGATTACCTTCCATACTGTTGGTGTGAAGAATGATATGATATAGTCAGTGTATGATTGGAGAAGACACACTAAAACAATTTTTTTTTTAAAGAGGTTATCACACAATCCAACCCAACCCATCGAAAAAAGGCAGGTAAAAATCTCACAAAGCAGGTATTAAAAGGGGATTAGAAATGATCAAAGTGATCAACACAACAATCTATGGGCTATACCGAGGATCTTGTGTGGCAAATCTTGAGAAACCGGGATTCCTAGAAACACAAGGAAGCAGCCAATGTAAATAGTCAACAAAAATAAAATAAAATAAAAAGAAGAAATCTATCAATCTCATGCAAAGATTACATTACAGGGGGAACTTTAAAAAAAAGAATAATTAATACATTAAAGCCAGCTTTCTGGAGTATTGAGAGATGACAACATATTCAGCCCCTTAAACATCAGTTCATATGGTGTCAAAAAAAATTACAACTGTGACTTGGACAAAAGTTTACATTTGTACAGACTGTAATTAAAACGTGCTGATCTAACATCTTGTTTGGATAACAATGTAAGTGATACCTACATATACCTCTACTTGAAAAGAAGAATAATCAAGAAAAAAACATGCAGGTACATATGTGTACACATGTACTTGTCTCAATATTAAATGTGGATGCTAAAACCACATCATTAATAAGAAAGAAATTTGTTTCAGAAAGAATAAACAGCACATGAGATATTATATCTTAAAGATACGGATGATAAAACCACATCCTTGAAGAGATTGGAACATATGTCACAAAAACATGAAGTGAATGTGATATAAAACAAATAGGGTAATTACAAGTACTTTACAATTCCATTCTTATAAAATATGCAAATACATGTACATGCAATATTCAATAAGATTAGATAATGTAGACAAAAGTCTAGTAGAGCTTTGTAAACTGCAATGCATGACAAAAATGGCCTATTTTAACTATTTATTTAAAAATACTAAATATATAGCAGGTGGCGAATCTACTTCATTTAAGTGTAACCTTCACCCCAGAAGAGTAAACAACTGCATTTATCGGTATGCAATTTGCATTCTGACAATTAAAGTACAAAACATAATAGCAGGTAAATGAAATACTTCATTACAGTACACAGTGGGAAGGAAGCATCCATAAATTTGAATCATTTACTTGATAACGGACTTCGCATAGTAGTCCCGTTATTAAGAAAATATTGTGCTGAGAAACTCTCTTATACTTTGATGGGAAATCTTGTAGATTGATGGGCAATAATACAATAAACCTCTGATAATGAATAAATGTATATCTTGGGATGAGATTTCCTTTAAGCTGAAATGTTTTTTTGTTGAATGAAATTGAATATTATTCTCTAGTGTAGAGGGGGAGGGGGAGGGGGAGGGGGAGGGAGGGGGAGGGGGAGGGGGAGGGAGGGGGTGAAAGCAGTTGCCACCTGGGCAAGCTGGGTGGGTGCGGCAGGAGTTCAGGTGGTCAATGGGCACCTAGGGAACTGATAAGTTTCTAGTCCTATATTTGAAAAGTGAAGGAAAACAATGAGTATTCCAATTATACTTGAATGTTTGGGAGGATGTCAGATGAAACAGAAACGAATGCAGCATCTGGCCACTGAGGATAAAGTGAGAATTCATCTAGGAATTTAGGCAATGCATGCTTTTAATCTCCATGGTGTTACTCACTATCCTTATAGACCATTTTCGTAATGCAACCTAATTTAATGCATAGTCTTTTAGCAGTGCCTCCATATAAATATGTCATACACCCGTAATGAATAAATGCATTTCAATAGTTAGAATGCAAAATGCATGTGTTGGTAGGTAGGGCGAGCCTAGCTGGCAACAACTTATTTATGCAATTTGCATTCTGACTATTGATACTATTATTTGCAACAGATGAATTCAATTATTTGTATTGAGGCAATTAACAAAGTTGTATGCATTAATTTGGTTACCATACAAAAATGGCCTATAGAGAACTCATCAAGGAATTTATGCAATGCATGCTTTCAATCTCCATGGTGATACTCACTGTCCCAATTCCTTTGTTATCCATGCACAGTACATGCAGCTGTCTAATTAATGAAAACTAATTTGCTAACGCTCATTGCAAGGTCTGTACAAATTATATGACAAGGAATACAAGAATGGTAAGAGAACTTATTGGATTACATGTGGATAACTTTTGCACATCATACTTCACATATAACATTAACCACAGACCAAAGTAAAGTTTGTTTTCTTAAATTTAATATTCTAACTTCTACTCCTCTACATTAATTCCTTCAATGAATATTGCAGTCGTGATGACAAGATAAAATGACACCATAAAGCAAGTAATATACACAAACAAACATACATTATACATCTACTTTCTTTGAACAAAGGAGGAATAAATATAAATGTAATTCTTTTAAGAAAAGCTCTAATACGATTACTTGCAGATGAGCAATGATTGTTTTTAATGTTACCTGAAAAGCCATGCTTTGCCTTTGAGCCGAAGACATCGCCAACAGTATCATTAGGACCAAGCACGACAGGATCCATGATGAATCCTTGCTCATATTTCTGGAATTATCAAAGAGTTTTATAGCAAAAGTGAGAAAGATACATGTACATGAAGGGAAATGGGTCGGAAGGAGAGGGAGAAAGAGGAGAGGGAGGGAGAGAGAGAAAGGGAGGGAGAGAAAGGGAGGGAGAAAGAGAGAGAGAGAGAAAAGGAGAGAGAGGAAAGGGAGAGAGAGAGAGTAAAAATAGAAATATAGTTGAGGGGGAGAGAAATATAACGAAGGAGAGAGGGAGAAAGAGAGAGAGAGACACACACAGAGAGAGAAAGAGAAATATAGTTGAGAGAGAGGAAGAGGGAGAAGGACAATATTAAGCATTCTTCAAAAGTTCACCTTCTCAGACTTTGCAAGGCAATACAACAAACATAGAGGCCCGAATTCACAAAGGAGGTTTGTCGACAAACCTTGGTTTTCGTACGTCATATGACGCGTTTTTACGCGTTTTTAACAAACCTGGTTTGTAAAGAACAAAAGGAGGTTTGGCGAAACAAAAGGAGGTTTGAGCTCAAACCTTGGTCTGAGCTCAAACCTTGCTTTGTGAATTCGGGCCATAGTGTTAATTGGGAATATCACATGACAAAATACCAATATATGGAATAGTAGAATTAAATCCTTCATTACTATGTTCACAGAATGCTTTTATCTCCTAACGATACTTCTTTGGTAAAATGACTTACTTGTTACTTTGTTCACAAAAGATATAATATCCTGATTTGAATACATTTCTGAGATTTTTTTATAGCTTGTTCTCCCTCCCTCCCTCCCTCCCTCCCTCCCTCCCTCCCTCCCTCCCTCCCTCCCTCCTCTTTTCTAATACTCACCTTTACTTTTCTGACTTCATTTGCTTGGAACTCAGGAGTACAGTTATGATGGATGATTCCAATGCCTCCACATAACTAAAGTATGATACAGATTAGAGAGATACAAGAAAGAATAGGAACAAAATTTTGTAAAGGTAAAAACTGTCGGTTTAGTTGCATTTGTGAGAGAAAAATATGAATAAAAAAGTACAAAAATAAGCAAAACTACATGTATACCTGTATATAAAAAAAAAAATCTTTTTCTCAAACCACATATTATCATAAGCAAAACGACATGCACTGTATCTGCACATATAGGGACTTCATTGTAGAAAGTGTATTGGGCTGTATATAATTGATATCTTGGTCAAACACACAAGAGCAACACCAGACTGAAAATTGAAAATAAATTAAATCATCCCGACTGGCCATAAATCCGCCTGTTAAGATTTTGTGTACAGTGGTTTGGCACTGGTATGACAGAGGTATCAATGGTATTTTAAGAGATCCTACTTCCTGATGCTTCTAAAATTAGACAATGTATACAAAAGCGTGTTCCTTTTTGAAGTACAGTGTATACATTTCAATATCCAAGGAATAAAGGAGACTTTGAACAGTATGTAGTACAGGTGTGCTGTTCCTGACTACATACGAGTACATGTATTTAAAGTGCAGGACTGGAAAATAAAATGAACCTAAATAAAATAAAATCTACACCTTGTACATATTAAAAAAAGTAAAATGGGATAATATTACATGTACAAATCATAAGCATGATTTATCATCAGCAGGAATGGAATTTGGAATACCTACACTCTTTTGAAGTCTTTTACTTTAAATTTCCATACAAATGAATTCAATAAAACCATTATTTCCATCTGCATACATACATGTATGTACAATGCATGAGTAAAAACATGCCATATATATATAGCAATCATTGTTGTACAGCTTCTTTTGCAAAAGTACTCAGCAATTAAGAGCTTCTATAAATACACAATGACTGCAGGTCCCTGAACATCCGTCATCCACTAACTCTACATATTATTAGAAATATTAGTTTCATATTTTTGCACATGATTTCACTAGCTAGTATAGATGGAGGTGCTCAACTAAGCCTACATGTATGCGCATATGGTGCCTTGTAGATGCATGTACACACTGTACATGGTATGCGAATCACCTTGCTGCCTACTGAACATAATACTGAATTGAGCTGGTCTTGTTTGCCAATGAATGTATAAATTGAATTTCATTTCCCCTAACAAAGTTAACAGCAATTGCAGCACTCTCTCTTTCTGTAACACAATCCTCCTCATCCATATATTTGTTTCTTCTCTTTTTCCCCCCTCTCTTTCTTCCCCCCCCCCCCCCCCCTCTCTCTCTCTCTCTCTCTCTCTGTCACTCTCACTCGCTCTTTCTCTCTCCTTGCTGTAGATGTTAAGGTATGGTGAGTGACTATATTGACTTTGCTTTTTATAAGATAACAATTTTATGAAAACCAGGAAACTGCATCAGAATGGTTGCTAATGGCAACACCATCCATGTGCATTGGAGAAGAAAAGATTTAGAGGATCCATCTCGGCATCAAACTGAAAATAAAAACAACAATGGTCTGCTACAATGACTATGAATTATAGAGCGGAAAAAAATCAAGAACTGAAAAGTCCATATATAGAAAGACCATCAACTATGAACAAATTTAAAGCATATGTGTGTTTTTAAGGTTCTGCATGAACAAGACAAAGTTTGTCAAAGGCATGACTTATATCAGCAAATCTAGAGAGATGAGATATCATTTATAGATTGCAGTATGTTGATTTGTAATATATAAGAACGTGCAAGAACAAATTGATACAATTACCCATATGAAATACTTTTACAAATTAACAAAAAATATACTTGGGCTTGGTACAAAAGTATCCAATGTTTCAGGCACGGTACAAAAATCTAATACTAGACAAATTCAAAATATTAAAATCAACATCTGTGTAACTTCAACGGTGTGATTTTTCCCATTAAATAACCAAATATTCAACAACAAAATACTTTATTGTAGTAGCCATTAAGGTGTTGTTGGAGAGAATCTCTAAAAACAAACACATAAAATTAATTTTACTACTATAAAAAGCAGCTTGTTTAAATTTTAGCATATTTTTCGTCATCATAAGATTTTGTACGCAATTTGCTACTTTTCATTCTGAGTGCCCTTAGATATCTAATACAATTATCACAAATCCAATCTAATTCCCATCCATCCTCGTCCTTCAACATGGAGGGCAAAGCAGATAATAACAGTAATGCATTTCCGTGGATGATTTCATGGGAGGTAAAAGTGATTAGGAGGCAAGACTCACTGCCATCGCGATCGCCATGGAGGACTCTGTGACGGTATCCATAGGAGACGACACCAACGGAGCCTTCAAGGTGATGTCCTTTGTCAGCTGGGATTGCAAATCCTATTATGTGAGGGAGAGAGGGAGAGAGGGAGAGATAGGGAGAGAGGGAGAGAGGGAGAGAGAGAAAGAGAGAGAGAGAGAGAGGGAAAACAACAATAAGAATCATCAATATTTTTACTGCTGTCAATCACTGAATTTAATAGAAACAGAATCCTGCAAATTATAATGAATTTATTGAAGAGTCCGTGGAATGAAAACAACCCGCAAGTTTGAAGCAATATGCCGAGATGGAAGCAAAAAGATGGGTTGTAGGACATATGCTCCAGTGACCGTTGCTCCACAGACAGTATTCCCATCTTCAACAGTGCACCACTCAATGCACACATACTGTACATAATCATATAATAATAACATTTACCCTAAAAGTAACACAAAACCTGAGGCCCACCCTAGCCCTATTTATTGCGAGCTCTGCTCCTATTTGCCCTGTATTCAAAAATGTATAATTTCCCTTTTTTTTAAAATCAATCATACAGTCTCCCTCCATATGATTTTGCAAATATTTAGTATTCATGAACAAAAATATTCTGTCACCAATACCTAAGAAAATGTAAGTTTATGAAATTTTCTGTACAGAGCGAATTGGAGAGCAGCTCACAAGATATGGCATGGTGTTGCCAATTTTTGTTTCACTAAATAGAACAGTACACATTTATAACTATCCTATTTTTAATTGGATGTTTGCTAAAACTAGATGGAACTTCAACTGCGCGCAGTCGAAATGATGCCTCCGTCATAGAGCAATTTTACAAACAAAAACAGAAGAAATTTTTCAAATTCAAGTTCAATTGTAATCCATTAACAGTTTCTCAGAATATCGTGATTACAAGCAATTTCTCATATACATATATGACCCTTTGATCTTTGACCTCATGACCCTAACATCTACTCAGTTCATTGGCTCTACAAGATGTCCCGAGTTAAATAGTAATCCATTTGTCAGTTCTAATGAGAATGCGTTCACGAGCTATTTTTGCATACATGAGCCGCATGACCTTTGACCTTGACCTTATGACCCCAAAATCTAATCAGTTCATCGGCTCTGCAAGTAACATACATGACCTAATTTTGGCAGGAATCCATCAATCGGTTCTTCAGATAACGCGATCACGAGCTGTTTTTGCATACATAATGAGCCCTGTGACCTTTGACCTTTAAACTCGTGACCCCAAAATCTAATCAGTTCATCAGCTCTGCAAGATACATACATGACCAAAGTTTGGCAGGAATCCATCAATCGGTTCTTCAGATAACGCGATCACGAGCTGTTTTTGCATACATAATGAGCCCTGTGACCTTTGACCTTTGAACTCGTGACCCCAAAATCTAATCAGTTCATCGGCTCTGCAAGATACATACATGACCAAAGTTTGGCAGGAATCCATCAATCGGTTCTTCAGATAACGCGATCACGAGAACGGGACGTACGGACGGACGGACGTACGGACGTACGGACGTACGGACGTACGGACGGACGGACGGACAACCCGAAAACATAATGCCTCCGGCTACTTCGTAACGGAGGCATAAAAATTAATAATTTGTTTCCCTCATTCATTTGCTTTCATTAAAACCAACGTAATATCAGGGTGGACTTCCCCTTTCGTGCATGCGGCGACATCAGATAAATGGGATATGTGCCACATTTTAAATTAATTTGATATTGAAATGGATTACCCTCATCGGGTTTTACAGGCTATTTCTCGATTTCAAATGTCAATGGAAAATTGGATAGTCGAGATATTCTGCATGTACAGTGTACACGTAGAATACAAATTTATACATGCATTTGACTATTATGCACAAACAAAACCACAACTATACTGCAAAATTGAAGAACACTACACCCCAACCATACAGCATGAAGGTTTTGAGTGATCGGTACACTTTAAAGATAAAGTTGAGTTCTGGTCATGCCATTGCATTGTGAAAGACACGGTATGGAATCGATCAGAAAAGGTTCATCCTCTAGTATATATTAAGTATTGGTGTGTACTGCAAGGTTCTGGAATCATCAAAATGATAAGAAATTTGGCCCAGTTTTGGTAAAGTTACAAGCACTGTACACAGAAATATGTATATGGGACTACACATGTGGCATAAAAATCCGTCCCAATTTTTATGCTATAAACTCATTTGAAGAGCCATGCTTTTCAGGGAACATTTTTTATCTGATGTTCTTCCACACTTTCTACAATGATAATGCTCACAAAATATTTTTCAACTCTTTCCAGAACTCAACCTTCTCTTAAACTCCTACCCAACCAAAACACAGGCGACATGTATGTTAGCATGTCTGGCTAGAAGTAAACATCCCACAAGGAGATGAGCAAGCTAATTTATGCTCAGGCTATCTCACTCCAGCAGTAACTGTTGTTTCACATAACGACCTGCCAGCGAAGTCGACACACTTCAAGTCCCAAGACTCCTACTTACTGCCTTTTAGGCTACTGAAGCTTCTAGCATCACTGACTTCAGTTGCATTGAGCAAGAGAGCAAGGAAGAGAGAGGGAGAGAAGGAGGGGAGAGGAAGAGAGGGAGAGATGAGAGGAGAGAGGGAGAAAGGAGAGAGGGAGAGAGGAGAGAGGGAGAGAGGAGAGAGGGAGAGAGGAGAGAGGGAGAGAGGGAGAGAGGAGAGAGGGAGAGAGGAGAGAGGGAGAGAGGAGAGAGGGAGAGAGGAGAGAGGGAGAGAGGAGAGAGGGAGAGAGATGAGAGGGAGAGAGGGAGAGAGATGAGAGGGAGAGAGGAAGAGAGGAGAGAGAGGGAGAGAGGGAGAGGGGAGAGAGGGAGAGAGGAGAGAGGGAGAGGAGAGAGGGAGAGAGGAGAGAGGGAAAGAGGAGAGAGGGAGAGAGGAGAGAGGGAGAGAGGGAGAGAAAAGAGAAGAGAGAGGGAGAGAGGAGAGAGGGAGAGGAGAGAGGGAGAGAGGGAGAGAGGAGAGAGGGAGAGAGGAGAGAGGGAGAGGGAGAGAGGGAGAGAGATGAGAGGGAGAGAGAAGAGAGGAGAGAGAGAGGAGAGAGGAGAGAGGGAGAGGGGAGAGAGAGAGAGAGGGAGAGGGAGAGAGGAGAGGAGAGGGAGAGAGAGGAGAGGGAGAGAGAAGAGAGGGAGAGAGGAGAGAGGGAGAGAGGAGAGAGGGAGAGAGGGAGAGAGGGAGGGAGAGAGGAGAGAGGAGAGAGGGAGAGAGGAGAGAGGGAGGAGGGAGAGAGATGAGAGGGAGAGAGGAGAGAGGAGAGAGTGGGAGAGAGGGAGAGGGAGAGAGAGAGAGAGAGGAGAGAGGGAGAGAGGAGAGGGAGAGAGAAGAGAGGGAGAGAGGGAGAGAGGGGGAGAGAGGAGAGAGGGAGAGAGGAGAGAGGGAGAGGAGGGGAGAGAGGAGAGGAGAGAGGGGGAGAGGAGAGGAGAGAGGGAGAGAGGAGAGAGGGAGAGAGGAGAGAGGGAGAGAGGAGGGAGAGAGAGGGAGAGAGGAGAGAGAGGGAGGAGAGAGGGAGAGGGAGGAGGAGAGAGGGGAGGGAGAGGAGAGAGGGAGAGGGGAGGGGAGAGAGGAGAGGAGAGAGAGAGGAGGAGAGAGGAGGAGAGAGAGAGGAGGAGGGAGAGAGGGAGAGAGGGAGAGAGGAGAGAGAGGGGAGAGAGGAGGGGAGAGAGGAGGAGGGGAGAGAGGAGAGAGAGAGAGGGGAGAGGGAGAAGGAGAGAGGAGAGGAGAGAGGAGAGAGGAGAGGAGAGAGGAGAGAGGAGAGGAGAGAGGAGAGGAGAGAGGAGAGGAGAGAGGAGAGGAGAGAGGAGAGGAGAGAGGAGAGAGAGAGAGGGAGAGATGAGGAGAGAGGGAGAGAGTAGAGGAGAGAGGAGAGGGAGAGATGAGGAGAGAGGGAGAGAGTAGAGGAGAGAAGGAGAGATGAGAGGAGAGAGGAGAGGAGAGAGGAGAGGAGAGAGGAGAGGAGAGAGGATGAACGAGTAGGAGGTAAAGAAAGAGATGTGAGTGAGAGATAGAGAGTGAGAGATAGAAAGAGACAAACAGACAGAGAAATAGAGTAAGAGAGTGAAACAGAAAAAAAAAGAGAAAAAGAGAGAGGGAGGGAGGGAGAGGACTATAGGGATGAAACAGATCAAAGTGATTGTCTAATGGACTGTAAAAGGCCTGGTGCTAATTGAATTAAAAATCATGCATATAATTTAAGTACCTCCTTCTGTCTTCTTTGGACAATTCACTTTGCACTCGTGAAATTTCAACCAGTGCACAAGTTGCAATGTACAGTCAGTACATGTATCTTTTCCTCCAGTCAAATTGTAGCCAACCATGGCATTAAAAAGGCATATTTAAAGCATGAAAACCTGCAATGTAAAAAGCTTGATTTATATGTAGGATTTTGATATGGCTTCTAGTTATTTTAAAATATTAATATCTAGTATATAAGTATATGCATCATTGCACGATGTGATGAAAAACATGGCTTCTACATGTAGATAATATGTTTACACACAGTACATGTGTGTGTATCCATCTAAACTAAATCACTTTGTTGATGTCTGCGGCAGCATTTGAATGAGAGTGACCTATTGCTGGCAATCCATCTTCGTGCATTAATGTTGAACTCCGCATAAGTTATGAAAATTGTGATACATTTTTCATAATGCATGTGATATGGTCTCCTACGTGGCACATCAAACATGAAATAAAGGCAAACATTTGTTATCAATCTTCTTATAAAATGCAAACCAAGTGAGGTTCAGATTCTGTGCTCTTAAAGTTGCATAACTTTAGATTAGATTTTATTGTTCATCCATTTTGAATAGGTTGTATTATATCAATTTTATCATTCTATCATGTCTAATTGTCTTTGTTTTCATTTCTTTATTTCTTCTTGTTTGTGGGTGGGGGGAGAAGGTAGGAACATCTACAATGTAGGGGGTCCAGGGTCCAATGTGAAGTTATGTTTCATAATATAAATGTTTATTCATTTTTATTAATTTTTAATCTCAGACAACTCTTTTTGGAGAAAAAAAAATATTTCGGAAATCCCAGTACCGGTAGTTCACAGAAAAATTATGATGAACTTTGAACATGTCACTGAGCATTCAAAATAAAATGTTGATGTTTATTTGTTAATAGTTATCTATTTTCCAGCAAAACAAATATACAAGAGCTGTCGACAATTCCTCCTTAATATTCTATCAAATTCCACTTAATAAACAATCACATTGTTCGAAGTAAACTGAATTTCAATATGTTGAGATTAATTCTCTGAACCCTGTTGTTCCATAACTAGTCCATGCGAGAGAAAAAAAAATTAAATTAAATGTCAACTTCATGTACGATAATATGATTCTATTTTTACAGTCTTGCAAGCTGCCAGCTGAATCTATTGGATGTGATGATATTGATGCAACAGGCAAGGCCACAACAACAAGTTTATCATTGCATCCTGGACCTGGTGAAACACCTATTATAACAATAATTTCTTCTCTGCCCAAACCCACCATTCTCACTCTTCCAACATTTTAGTATGATGTGAAACTCATTTATATTCATCAAATTCTTCTCTCTTTTTTCCATTCCCATCACAATCGTCTTCTGAGCCTCCTACTTATCCCCCCCCCCCCCCCCCAGAAAAAACCCTCTCTCTCTCCACAATCAATCTCCCTTGATTTCATCACACCCACATACATGTACAGCTGACAGCTGAATGCAAATTTATGGAAAAGTCAGGAGTATGGATCAATCTATGCATCCCATAGGTGGAAAGCCCAAGGACACAGTATAATAAATAAGTTTACTTTGTGTGAAAAACTGATATATCACATGTAGGCTAAAAGACACAAATCCTACGTTTCAAAGGTCACTGATTTAAGATCATCTGTAAACACTGTGACAAAGAGAAAAGTAGAACGCTCAATTGAGTCAATTCTAATCAAAAGAGGCAATTCAAGTCGAAAATCTCTGATGAAATGAGTTGGGATTCTTTTGTAAGCCAATGACAAGGATGCAAGTAGCTTAAATATTATGACTTCTTTTCAGAAAACCTGTGAAAATCAAAAGCCAGTTAAAATTTGGGCAAAAACCAAATGGACAAGAACATGCATGATTAACATCCTCCACATTTTAATACAGTAAAAGGGCCTAATTCAACCTTTGTTTCTCTTGATTATGAATTTAACACTTTGAAAAATATGAAGAAAACATCCACAATTTAAACAATGTTTAATACTTCCTTCATTTAAAAAAAAATACAAAAAAAGCAACAACAAAAAATTAAACAAACAGAAATTGCATTATTTTTCATACTACGTTTGTTTAACCTTAACAAAGGTTGCATATTTCTTCAAGGCAGACTTGACGACAGAATTGGTTTCAGTCTTTCAGACACTTTCAGTTCTAATGATTTAAATCTAATCTGTAACTTACCACTTGATCTGATGTGAAATCAATGTAACCAGGTAGGATTAAGAAGTCACTGCAAAGAAAAAAGTTTAAAATGAAAATATATTTCATGGAATCAGATATCAACTTTTCTTTAAAAGACAGGCAAATAGAGGGTTAAAGTGCTTTCAATTAGTGACTTTTTGTAGGTATTTTTGCAGTATCTTTACGTAAACCACCATGTAGAATACTGTAAATTACAAATTATGCATTAGTAAAGTTCACTACGAAATATGAACATGCTTGTCCTGTTAGAGGGTCTTTACAGTGCATCCCAGAAAAAACGAAACCGAGAATTATCAATGTTTTAACATAAATTAATCACAATTATTATTATTAAATGGCACATATTTGTAAAGCTTAGATCTTCTTCTTTCATTTGATGCAACTCTGTTTTGTTGACAATCAGCCATCATGCATGAAGTCTTTTTTCTTCTTTGTGCATGGCTGATCATCAACGAAACGGAGTTAACTTCTTTGTCAACTGTTTGTTGCTATGGCAGGCAGCCAGTGAAAACAAATTTGTTTATTTAAATTATGGAAATGCAAGCATTACTTTAACAAACAGAACTTTGTTATTTCTGGCTCATTTTTCCTAATTAGGCCAGTCTTCATCAGCTCGAGATTGCCAAATAATCCGCCATTTTAACTATCCTGATCGCAAATTATCAAGCTAATAAATTTCACGTCTTCATCAGCCCGCAGTTGCAATTAATGGGATATTTGGTTGTGATAATCATCCAAGATATCTTGGGCTTGTTTGCAAAATATCCATTCCTGCCAACATTAGACAATAAGAATTAGGAATTTTTAGCACGGTATGCCTTCAAAAATGAGAAATCGCACTTGCAGTGACAGTGTAACTGGTAATGCGCGGTAAATCTGTACCAAAAAGCGAATACAAATTCGCTGCTCGATCATGCAGCCATTCCTGTTGGCAGGAAAAACTGTGATAACGTCATTAAGAACTTGTAGCTCGTGCAGTTTTTCCTTCATAATCATTTTGCCTTCGGCGTAGACTAGAAGGAATGAGATATAGATGACGTCATGCGCAGCGAGAGTTAAAATACGGCTTGCAAGATTTTCAACATGGATGTCGATTTAGAACCATAATTTCCTGAAAATGGACCATTAAATGGAATTATTCAGTCAAGTTGGAAAGTGGAACCGATAGCCTAGGCCTAATTTACAATATAAAATAAATCGGATATGCAACCAGTAAAATATCAAAATTAGGCATTAGTTTGGCCAAGTTTGGTGTAAAGAAACGTTACACCGATTCGTGAACACTTACGCTTATGGTCCTGTTCTGTCTCTAAAGAGAGGAGCTGACCCTACCCAAATCAGAGGCTAACGAACGAAAGAGACAAAAAATTTCGGTCTAAAGAAGCGCATGCAACAGGCGTACGCTTGCATATTGCGCAATGCAGCTATTTTGCTATATTTAGCAAAACAAAATAACTCTGCGTGTACATCTTTTTCGTTGATCTGACAAAAAGCGGATGAATATTGCCTAGATTTTAAACCAACTTAACAATAGTAATAATACACCATTACTAGGGTTCGTTTTTCACCATTTTTTTTAAAATATGTAAATAAAAAATGTAATAATAATAATATATTTCAAATTTCAAGACTCACCGATGTTTCAATCAAAAGAAACAGCCCCTCCAAAACTCTGTAATATTCATATCATTTTGGTTGGACTCTCGGACTCAACGAAAAAGACGTAAACGCAGAGTTATGTCGTTTTGCTAAATTTAGCCAAACAGCTAGCAGATGCTCCATCGCGCAATATGCATGCGTACCGTATTTGCCGGCGATAAGGCCGCACCGCCGCATAGGCCGCACCCCCAACTTTGACATTTCAAAGAGGAAAAAAAAAAAAGGAGAAAAAAAACAAACAGACAAAACAAAATAATCATAATTTTCTCGAAAACACAAATTTTTTTTTACAAACTGATACCAAATTCATCCATATTCTTATAATTTACCCGAAGTTTAGCTAAAAAAGTGATCGCAGGCAGATTTGGTGTCCGATATACCCCTACCACAATGTACTGCATGAAATGGAAAAAACAAAATGGCGACTTCGGATGGATGTTCGCGGCAGCTCCGTTAGACTGTCCCTTCCTTTACCTTTGCAATTCATTGGCACGAACTTAGATCAAGATCTATCGGCACATGTTGTGTTAGGACATTTATTTTCGTCTTCATTTCAACAATGCAAGGCTTTTTGATATTTTCTCTTCCAAAAATACTGCGGCCTTTACGCCGGCAAATACGGTATGCATGTAGCTGAATTTGCAAAACCTGACCACGTTGTCTCCGCGATATCGCCATTGACTTATAACATGTACTCACTTCTGGGTTTGAAGCTTTAGCGGTCCGAATGCATATTTATGTGCGCGATGTTACCATGGTTTGGACAGAGCGGAGCTCACGCATCCCTAATTAGCCGATTAAAAAAATATTGGAAGGGTATTTTCAAACTGTTGCAGCAAATGATCCCTTCGGGCTAGCGAAAAAAAAAGCACCTGGATATTATCCCTACGTCTAGCCCTACTTAAGCCGGGGCTCAGGAAAGTGAGTTGTCTGGAGCTAGGATGCAAACAACATTTCAATCGCTGTTTTGACCAAGATATTTTTAGAATTCCGGGGGTGGCTCCCTATGGGGAATATGGAGAAAAACCTGCTCTTTCATACGACACATTTATTGAGTTATACGAGTAATAAAGGTTTGAATTTCAAAATCGTTCATAAAAATTAAAATCATTGACCAATTTTGCATAGTCGCACAATGCACGTAGACCACATAGGGATGCCTGCAATCTCTATGGGAAGGATTTTAGCACACAACATCGGGTGCGCAATCAGACACCCTACCATTACCATAATACCAGGGAGGACTAGACCTAGGCTACCCCTTAAAAAAAAATGACAGTCTTATTATTTTTTCCTTACTTGTGCGGCCGTGAGACGTGACACATTTTTTTCTTCTTTTAATTTTACATTTTTATCATGGAAAATGTTATCAAGATTATAAAATGTTAGATCCAACATTAACTAAATAGGAAATTGGACAGCCTTTCTAGTTACAACTTCTATCCAATTTCAATATGCATTTGTATAAACTGTTAGGCCAACAGGCCTAATAATATAGGTCTATGTCTACTGTTAGACAAGACTCTGTGAGCATGGTGAGGCATACATGTGCATAGACCGAAAGCTTCAGTCTCTCTAATCGTCGGTTGTTCCACTGAGACTACGTCTGGCTCCACTAGACCTCCGATTATAGAGACTGAAGTCTGGGGACCTCTTTCTGTGAGGCACTGTACGGAACAAATGGTTCGGTTCGACCGGACCGCGATGAATGAGATATGCAACAAGATTTTCACTCTTTACATCCTCATAACTGCTGCAATTATAATAAAAATTAAAAATAACATATATATAGCTTATTTGACTTACGATAGGTATGTGACTAAAAAAATTAAAATTGTGGGATTACATTGTATCTTATATCATTGGAAAGGGCTTGAAAAACCATTTAAAATGGTATATAAACCATAGCTCTAGGACAAATATTTAGCGAGTTATGATTTTTTTTAAAGATTAAAAATCTGATTTAATTATCGCCATTGTTTTACCATTGAGACCTCTCAAAATCTGTGACCGACCATGACCAATAAAAAGGATGGTCTCATTAAAAATGTAAAAATTATTCATTTTTCTAGATAAAACCTTAAGGAAAGAACATGTGAAAGGGGAAGAAAACCAATATTGTATTATTTGATGTACTATAGACCCTTCTGTAATTAATTAGTAATTAGCAATTAGCAAATTAATTAGCTAATTAGTCATTAATGAACTCACTGCCACAAAAAGACAGACAAATTTCGGTAATTTCCTGACAATCAATTTTGAGGAAGTAAAAAAACAATGATTGTATGTTCCGATTTGATTTATATTCATCAAGTAACGAGAAAAATGTATAAATAAACGAATTAAATTAGTTTTAGAACTATTAAAACTTATCTTCAGGGAAGATTACGATAGTAAAGATGACATTGAACTTTGACTTGAACAAAAATGCACTTTCTCATGTCCGTTTCTGAAAATTCAAGGTCGAGGCAAAAGGAAATTTTTCCAATGACGTCATCAGACAAGCAAGCCAAATCTGGCGAGAAACCGCCATTTCCACACGCAATCAAAGAGGAACCCTGCAGAGTAACTCGTATTGGGCGTGAAACCGCTGCTGGGCACGCTGAAACCAAGCCAATGTGCGCGATAGTCACATACCTACTTACGATAGCTTGCTCATTTAGATCCTAAATTAATGATCAATCCCAGAAAGTCTCGTCGTCAACATTATCCATCTTGGTTTTAGTTGATGAATATTCATTTTTTCTTTTCGAACGTCCAATAGCTACCGTAGCTACGTACAAGTCAGCCCGGCTTGACCAACGAAATCCCACGAAACGAGTGCTCTGATTGGCCATTGGCTATGTTTTGGTAGGAATTGACCCGGAAATATATATCGGCCGCCGGGTCATATAGCTCTATGTTCGAGTGCATGAACATGCATGAACGTACTGTTTCACAGTTCAAAGATACAAATTGGATAATTCATATAAGTAAGTCCGAAAATTTCACATTCTATGATAGATGATGTTTGAAGGTTTGCATGGTGGTATGAATAATCACGGAAGAGGTTTACGGTACACCATGTGTAAAGTCCTCGAGGGACTGAGGAAAGTGGATAGAAAATGGAAGTGAGATGGAAAGGCGAGAAAGTGGAGGTTGGAAGGAAGAGTATCTTTCGGAAGTGAGTATAGTCCTGAAAAGGACTGTAAACCAGAAAGTTGTAGGAGGGATGAGAGGTTTGAGTAGAAGACTGGATTGAGTTGGAGAGTTGAGTAGGCGAGTAGAGTTGCAGAGCAGGAGCAGGAGAGTCTACTCTCTTCTTCTCGCCTTTCCATCTCACTTCCATTTTCTATCCACTTTCCTCAGTCCCTCGAGGACTTTACACATGGTGTACCGTAAACCTCTTCCGTGATTATTCTATGATAGGTTAGCAAATTTTGAAAACTGTAATTAGGAGATATCTAGGTCTATAGACCGACCTAATTTACATCTGATTTAGAAATCAGAAAATTAGATCTAGACCTAGACTAGATCTAAATAAAGAAAATCGGGAAGAAAATGTCGTGAAGTTGAACGAAAAGATGTTCATAGCCACCCCCACGGTACGAGATCTCTGGGTTACCATTTATGGGGAATGACAACAAATGTCAGTTTATTAAAGAAATGACCCAATTTCAGATGGTTATTTCTGTCTAACATGTGCATGACTAGACTATTGTTGTTATTGTACATGATGTAGATCTAACTGTTAGATCTAGATCTACATTGCATTGTTACAATTCCATCCGTCATCTGGTCATTGATTCCTGCACTGGAGGTAGTCTAGGCTGTAGATTTCTACTGAATTTTTCTAAACAACATGTTTTTTCGAGAATTACATTACTGACTCACTTGTATGTAAGGCCATCACCACTACCAAACAGCTGCTGTCCCGATAAACCATCGTCGACTTGTGGCTCCATTGCACCATTCATTAATTTCACTTTCTTAGACATCGCAAGAGTATGATTTTACACCAAGCAGGGGTGACTTTTACGTGAAGAACCTGTGAACACTCGCCTCAGTGCAGCTCAGCTAATTCTTATCGCGATCGCCTCGCGTACGTCGTCGAACGGCGGGCGCGCCAGGCGAGTGTAGGTTGTGTACGTATAGAATCTACGCAGCGCATATCATTATGTACAGTCTGCTGTGTACTATACTGTAGCGCTGTATAGATCTAGTTTTGTACTAAATACACGTGCTATCATAATTGTAGCGCGCTGTCACAGCCAATCAACGGAGTGGAAACTGCGATTTACTTATGAATATGCAATAGCCAATGTTGCCAATTTAATATTCTTTGTGTAATGAAGAAAAAAACGTTAAAACTTTTTTTTTTTTAGTTATAAAAGAAAAGAGAGCATTAATTTATTTGGCCTATTTAATGCGAAGTGTGAAGGATGAAGGTTGCGTAGATTCATAAGGAATGTATTGATCCATTACTCTTTTGGACAATTCAATTCATCTCTGATAATTGCCTCTATTCAAATCTCAGAGGTGCTCCCTTTCACCTCCGATTGATGGCCCTTTTTTCTTTCTAATAAGTGCCCCTTTTCCTCACGATAATCACTCGGTCCTGTTACTTTTTAATAAGAGTCTCTTCTTCTTCTGATACTTGTCCCTTCTCATCTCTGGTGAGTGCACCTTTTAACCTCTGTTACTAGATTGCCCTTTTTGCTTTGATACGTGCTCCATTTCTTAAGTGTCCTTCCCCTTTTTGATAAATGCCCAGATGCCCCCTTTTCCTTTCTCAATAACATGTGCCTCTAATTTAAGGGGACTATATAAGATATGAGAGCGAATAACTTTGAATCCCCCCTGCCCCCCCCCCCAAAAAAAAAAAAAATTGTTAAGTAAAAATAGCGCTCACCATGCTACACACCCCCCCCCCCCCCCCCCCCCCTCCACCTCCATCTCCCACTGAGCGAAATATCGAACGGCCCGATTTTCAATTTTCCGGGGTCACAATAAAAAAAGGGAAAATAAGTGTGCTCACTTTAAAAAAAAAGGTTATTATTACCCGGTTTATCTACTCGCAATGACTATGGGTGTGATGTACGGCCTCCGCGGTATTCTCTAGCTCTGTAAGCACGCCATGTAGTTGGGGTTGAGTATTATCTTCTTTTCTTTCTTTTTTTCAATAGAAAAACTTTAACACAACACAAAGAACATGCAGGTATAGGTAGCAGATGAAAACATCTAAGAAAAGTGCATCATACAATATATCTGCATAGTAGCAACTGATCTACAGTGTACTACTAATGAATGAACAAATAAAACTATTCATAACCTTATTTAAATACATGGAAAGGAATAAAAGTACCCAACACAGCACTACACAAAACATCACAAAACAAAACACACACACACGCACACACACAACAAATGTCTCTATACCAACTGTACACAATATTTTTGTCTTCTTTTGGAGAGGTTGAGGGGGGGTGGACCATAATGGTCTACAACTCAAACGTCCATTTTTTTAAAATGCAGGCTCAATTTACCTCTCTTATTAGCAATCTTGTATTCAATCTTTTTCTTCATTTTTAGAAAATTAATAAAAGCTTGGAAATTTAGGTTAGTTTGCTGAAATTGACATCTAATAACATCAAATTTAAAACAGAGAAAAAAATAACTTGTACATTTTTCATGTTTACTGCCAAGTGACCAAAGATATTAACTAAAATCTGCACATTTTGTAGACTCCTTAATCCTATTGTCAATATAATCAGTCAGTTCTTTTCATAAAGGAACAACCATTTCACACTCACAAAACATATGTTTGTTTTAAGATCTCGGGGGACTTTTTACAAAAAATAGCACATATTGGAGAATCCCTCCTTCCAATTTTGAATAAAAATGCTACAGCATTGTGTAATAACTGAAATAAAAGGATCTGAGTTGAGTTTCAAAAGTACAATTGTAATTATTTGTGTGTATCCTTGACCAATCAACTTCGTTCCTATCTTGCTTTCAAACTTGCACTCTTTTCCGCCCCCCCCCCCCCCCCCCCCCCCCCCCCCCGTCTATATCTCTCGATCGCGTATTGGATTTCGATGGTTGTATCGCATAATAGTGCAGTGCTAGTGCAGTGTCGACCATTACAAATTTACTGATTCTCAAATTGGCAACGAGTAAAATATTCATTTATTCATGATGGCGACAGACGGTGAGTTCACTGGATATATTTTCACTTTTCCCCCCAATATTGAAATCATAGAATTATTTATCAGTGTGTGCGTTACAAGTTTGTAGCATTTCGAGCTCACACAAGGTGTTATCAATAAAATTAATTGTCATTTATGGGTAAAAATTCAGGAATGCTTCTTTCCCCTCGTTTTGCGTTGTCCCACACTTAGGATATCACGTTAGTATTTTTTTTTTATAGAAGTGACGTGAGAAAGAGGAACACAAAGGCTTCCTACCATATTGTTAGTCTTCATATATTAGCAGTAGATATAGATTTTGATTTTATTGTTTGCGTTAACGGTGATACAGGTATTGAAGAGTGTATAATGCAAGTGTTCGTATTCATTTGGTGGATGAAAAGTTGAATTCTACGCCGTTTTGTGCGTCATGACATGTCATTGCATAATTGCAAAAAATAGTTTGGACTTTTTTAATCAACAAGTGATGTCTCGTTCTAAAAATACAAAAGAAATATAATAGTTTTGTGCTTAGACTGGACTGGACTAGTACTGGTCAATGGTCGTTGGCTATTTGAAAAACAAAGATGCCTTACTATTTTGGTCGATGATCGTTGCTGGACTCTTCCATTCAATAGTATTTGGTCGATGGTCGTTGGTTTCATTTTCTATTCTAATATTTGTCAGACTGTTGGTCGGTCGATGGTCGACTTATTATATACACTTTCTCACGGGATTCGGGGCAAACTGCTGCACAATAGTTGCATACCGTACCGACGGTGGGGTGCGGGCGCAGCGCGCGTGTGTTAAGTTAGCAACCGTATTGCTTAGATTACAGTCGCTAATTTAACAAACATGCGCAGGCCCGCACCCCACCGTCAGTGCAGCAGTTTGCCTTGAATCCCGTGAAAAAAGTGTATATAGTCTAATAAGTCTTCGTTTTTAGGAAAAATACTCCTTTAAAGATGAGAAAATTGACACGAAACAGGTAAGAAACATAACAACTTTTAAATCATGACCATTATTTGAACAATTGATGAAGATTTAGTCAATTTTTTGGTATGATCCGGGTCATAGTTTGGATAGACTTCTGAACTAGAACCTTATTTTCATTCTATCGATATATAGGTGGGCGCTAATGTACTTTCGTATCCAGACTTTGACCCGTAATCCGTTGTGACAAGTAAAATGATAAAAATCATACCATAACATCAACTAGAGGTCTAGATGATAGATCTAAATCTTCATCAATTGTTAAAGATAATGCCTTAATTTTCTGGTCACGATTTAAAAGCATTATGTTTCTTACCCCTTTTGTGTCATTTTTCTTATCTGTTTTGGAGTATTTTTCCTAGAACCAAAGATATTATAATATAGATCTACACTTTCTCACAGGTTTCACCGCAAACCACTCCACAAAAATACAATTGCATAAGGGGTGCGGGCTAGTGACTGAAGTTAGTGACTGTAATCTCAGATCCTCATTAAATTCATGTAACTAGTAATTCACATTATGATGATGACGATCATTATTACAGTCGCTTACTTCAGGTATGCATACCGCCACACCCCTTTGTCAGGGGGATCATAATTGTTGATGTTTGAATTATTTTGATAAATGCAGAAGAAGTAATAAGGAAGAGGCTCCTAATTGAAGGAGAGAGTGGTGGAGATGACAGGAGAATCAGCAATCTACTCAAAACTTTCGTGAAATGGTGTCACACAGATCAGACTAAAGAAGAATGGTTAGTTATCGTTGGTGGTTGTTGTGTCTTACATCAACTTTTATTTGAACAGCTTTAAAAGTACAAAGATACATCAACAACATGTTGGCCTGTACTTCTCCAAAAAAAGAAGAAGAGAAGAAAACTAGTCCAAACAGACCAATTTGCCACAAGATTTCCAAAGTATATGAAATATGTTGAGTAGTTACCGAGAGAACTTTTCTATTAAGGTACACAGTCCCATAAAGAACAGATGCTGAAACCATGACAACTAACTGCTATACCTGTTCAAGATATAATGTCACTAATTGCAGGTTATATGATTTTTCAATTAACAAGGCCTAGTTTATACCAGCACTGGCCAAGGAGTACAGATGCCTAGATTTTAAGTAACAAGTTGGATATATGTATACATTTTTTTTAATCAAAGTAAATATAAAAGTGGCAAGAATGAATAATGGGCTACCTGTAATTCATGATGATGAGTGTATTTATGGTTCGTCATAAAGTAAATCTTTACTTATAACTTTATTTTTCAGCACGGTTACATACCAGAAGATGCTGATGATGCTATGTCAGGTAGACTTTGCCACAGAAAGAACACAGCTGATTCATCAAATGAATATCAGAGAGATGTCCAACTATGAAGAGCTCTACTCAACAATTGGTAAGAGACTTGTTCAAGAAATGTAACTCAGAACAAGTTTAGATTTCCGGTAATGTAACTGTATTTGTAGAAGAAAAAATCTGGAAGGCCTTCGCTGAAGTTGAGTTATAAAGTGTATTATCTCATTGCTCAAATACCCAATTATTCATAAAAATTATCTCTATATTACTACCATACAAGATTCTAAACTTGTGATATGTATGGAATGAAATGAAGATTATAAAAATCTTTGGTTAAAAGAAAGGTGTATTACAAAAGCATTTGTTATAATGTTTTATGCAATATGATTTTTATCTTTTTCAGTACTTCTTAAGTTCTTCCCTCAGTAATTCCTTGTGTTTTTGGGAACTATCTCTCTTTTTATGTTATTCACTGGGTGTTTCTTGTTTATTTTTTTGTAATTTAGGGGTTAAATCATTTCTAGCTTAATCGCCTCTTGATATGTTTTTTAATCAAGTGAGTGGGACCCCTTACATCAAGAGTAAAACATTTTTTAAAAACAAATTATGTTTCCATGACAATCCCTATGAATACAGAACGCAACATCAAGGATGCCCACCAGCAGATAAATGCATGCAAGACAGAGCTTTCAGATGCCAAGAGAGAGAGAAAGAACAGGCAGGAGTACGACACATTAGCAAAGGTTATCCAGAAACAACCCGACAGGAAAGAAACCTTGAAGTAAGACACATTTCGGTGACCTAACAATAGCACCTATGACAATTGCTCTGGGCTTTATGTCATATATAAGTTATTGTAATATAGTATTCCCCCCCCCCCCCACACACTTCCCCCCCCCCCCTCCCCACACTTTCCCTCCCCCCCCCCCCCACACTTTCCCTCCCCCCCCCCCCCTCTTTTCTCTCTCCATCTCTCTCTCTCTCTTTCAATCCCTCTCCCTCTCTCTTTCACACATTTTCTCGGTCTCCCCATCTCTCTTTTCTCCTCCTCTCCTCTTTCTTTCTTTCACTCTCTGTTTTTCCCTTGTCACTCACATGTATGTTGCTTTCTCTCTATCTCTCTCCTATCTTCTCTCCCTTTATTATTCTTCAAAGCAATGATAAACTATACATGGTGTGAATGGGAAGAACAATGTGCTTTGTGATTTTTATATTGACATTATTCTTTTATCAACAACGAAAAAAACACCTTACTGTTTTCCTTGATATTGTTTGTAGCCTTCCAGGTGTAGAAGCAGTGTGGTCGAGTGGATTAGTCACTTGACTTAGGATCACTTGGTTCACGGTCCCTGTCCCATTTTCCCAGCCATCGCAGTGGCACCAATGTCCTTTGGTTGCTACCTTTTATCATTGGGGATATTTTTCTATTTTGTCTCCTATGTTTTATGTAGACAGTTCTTGTTTCTCTTCTGACTGACAATTATATTTTCCCTTTACCATGTCCCTATCAGCAAATTGCAGGAACTGGATAAGGATCTTGGTGAATTGAATAGCACCAAGGAGTCTTTAGAACAGAAGGTAAGAGATTAAACTGGTTTCCTGAAAGTAGCTAAAAGGAAAACAATGTGCAGCCCAGACTGATGTAGTACCTAAAACGTCTTCAACTTAAATGTTGAGTGAGAACCCTGATTCATATAAATACATAAGAGGAGACATGATCAAAGTTTTTTAGTTATTTCATGGAATAGATAGACTCGATCCAGAATGTTTTTTTGTGAAATCACAGTATCAGAGAACAAGAGGCCATTCATTAAAGTTATTCATTACTCGCTGTCGATTGAATGTCAGGAGTAACTTTTTAGCAAACGGGTCATCCAGTCTTGGAACAGTTTACCAGTGTTTCTAGTAACTGCTACCAGCATCAACTCATTTAAACACAGCTTGGATTCTTTTTGGTCAGACAAACACTTTGTAATAGCATAGTCTGACATCCACACATGCACTGATTTATAGACCTTTACTGATGTACCAAGTGATCTGACCTGGAGACCTACAGGATATCCTACACTCCCGTATAGATGATGATGATGATGATGATGATGATATCAATAACAAGTTGTAATAGTTCTTGATTCTCTATATTATCAATATATTCAAAATCCAAGTATTCTATGTTCAGGCCCCAATTCAAATGCTCTCTAGGATTTTTGTTAAACATAATAAAAATAAGATATTGGATGTGTGATGAGCAAAAGCAAGCAGAAGCATAGAAATAATATCATCAACTTTCTTTGGTTGTGTTCATTGGCAAGTGGGCAAACAAGATGTAACACTATGAACATGACAGACGAAGAAAGAGGACAAAATATACAGTTCCTCATTCTACCCTCAACAATTGCTGTGGTAGACATAGGAACATCCCTTCAATGCTATTATGTAAAAATGTGTAGAACAGGTGAATATGCATGTGACACCTGTTCTACACATTTTTACATAATAGCAGTGAAGGGATGTTGCTTTGTCTACCACAGCAATTGTTGAGGGTAGAATGAGGAACTGTATATTTTGTCCTCTTTCTTTGTCCGTCATGTTCATAGTGTAAGCAGGTGTACATTGATGATGCAGCTCACCATGAGCGAGTGAGCATGAAGTTAGCAACTTGTGGGTTAATGGTGCATCTTGCTCTTCTATTTCCATTGTCTCTCATCCACAGTTGGAGGATAGGAAGAAGCAGTTCCATGTTCTCATCAGCGCCATCCATGAGCTGCAGAGGATACTTGACAGTAAGTAGATTATTTGGGAAGGATTATTTTTAAAGCCTAAATTAATGGCTTGTCATATTTTACGTATATCTTTTTAGGAAATCTTTCAACGCAAGAGGGTATTTCCCACTTCTGTAAATAATAGAAAGCAATTTTTAAGAGACATGTTCAAACTTCAAAATTATATTCATATTTGTTAGCAGGTTTTCTCTTAAGAGCCATGAGCCAACTAATGCATTCACCTATTATGAGGAATTATATTTCTGTAGTCAGAATGTATGTGAATAAACTGGTTGTTGTTAAGTTGGATGAGCCTTTGATAAACTTATGGGTGGTTCTGTTTAATTGCTATTGTTGAAGCATACATTTGTGAACTGGGCTGTGATTCATAAAAAACTTGGCAGTTACAAGTTACAATTATTGACATGAGATACTGAAGTCTGCATTTGATTGGCTGAGAGAACATTTGTTAGAGAATTGTGGGAGTTTTCAATATTGATAACAAGTTTTTGTGAAACAGGGCCCTAGTCTGTTATATTATGTGACTTCATACCTTTTAATCCTTGTCTATCCATTTTCTATCCTTTTTATTTTGCAGCTGATGATGGGCCACAGAAGCTGAATACCACATCAGACTCGATGATGAGTGAGTCCATGGACACCTCCTTGACAGACAAGTGACACTGTCAACTCTTCCCCCTCCCCTCCCAAAAAACTACTGTATTAAATAATTGAGAGGATTGGTATGCACTTGGACTTTCCCAAGGATGCTAGAGGCATCAGAATCACTCCATACTCCTCTTTCTTACAATGAGTAAGTTTACCTAATAGAGACAGTGTTCATTCAAAATGCATTTCCAATGGATGGCATCTCAGGGATATCTGGAGCGGAGGATTCAGCGAAGAAAGTGGGGGATATAGAGTAGAAACACAGCTATTGCTTCAGCCGTTGCTTCATGGAACCATGTTAGAGCACCATTGTGATGCAAAGTCTGATGTTCTTTTGAAAAAGCTACGGCGGCGACATCAGTTTGATCAGCATAAATTTAATCAACTTGGCCATCGCTTGACGTGGAGCTTTATGGAAGCACCTTGGAGGATAGTCTTGATGGAAAGTCTGATCACATTTTCTCTTAATATAATGATAGCAACGCCAGGGATGCAAGTTTTCAGGCAATAGCCTGTATTCAGGCCCTGACAAGTTATTTTCAGACCATAGTTTAGGCTTTTTTGTGTACAAAATAGATCATTGTAGGTGATTTTCAGGCCCTCTGATCAAATCTTACTGGCATCCATGCAACGCCATTAGAGTTTGAACGATGCAAGATCAAGTTATACAGTGCTCTACTTCTTAATCCATGTAATTCTGTTCATGCTGGGCAATGTTTTAGAGTGTGGAGCAGAGATAGACGTGTCAACTTGATCTAGGACAAGGCCTCATCCAGTTTTGTTTCTGCTTATGTTTTTTACAATTTTGGAATCTTGTTTACAGAGAAGGCTCATCTTTATTGTCCATTCCGAGCAGTGGAATTTTATGTTTTCTAAAGAGCTTTATAGTCTAGAATTTGTGCCCTCTCCTGTGTTCAGCTCCAAATTGGTATCCATCTTGTCAGGATTTGTTTTAAGTATTATGATTTAGAAAGTTAAAGTCGTTTTCCCCTGTGCCTTTCAGGACACAGAAGTTATGAGTTGTTGGCTTTAGTGAATAAGCATGATTACTAAACAATGAACATAAGGAAAAAAATAGATGTAACTTTTAACAGGACATGGCAGGTAATGGCTTGCATAATTTTCTTATATGTACCTTTATGATTTATTTTTTTAAATTGTTAATTAATGATTTCCATGAATAATTGAGAAACAGGGAAACAGAGAAAAAGTAATCTTTTTCACTGATTTTATCTCCCCCCCCCCCCCCCCTCATGTTCCTATATTTCATTGTTGTTTTTTCTTCTTTTTGTCGTACAGTTTATCATAAATAAATTTGTATAAAATATGAACAGTATTGCAGTACCATCATTATTAGTCAGGATTTTGAGAGATAAGCTCTAACATCAAAATATTCAGAAATTTAAACCAAAGTACCAGCACAACCAAACATTCTTTCCTCACTACGGCTGAACACTTAACAAAACTTCCTCATACTCAAGAGACACACTTGATAAAAGTCACAGCAGTACAAGTTATAAGAACATTTACATTTATTCAGAGAAACTCTGAACATCATTATAAAAACAAAAACAAATACAGAGGTTTGAGACCTACATCCCAGTAACTAATTCAGATAGTAGTGCATGTATGTCATGTCCACTAGTCTATGCATAATTACTATAACATGGATTGGTAATTGAAATACATATCATATTTACAATATACATGAACCTTCTACAGGTGTCCTATAAGACGTATAGTCCCATTCAATATAGAAGCTACAATAACAAAGACATATCTACTAAACATATACTGCATGCATTTAAAACTACTTCTCAGCCAAGTTGCCTAAGGATGCTAATATACTTGCAGCAAAGAGAAGATGTTTTACAAATGTTATTTACTGTAATGGCCTAGACAGATATTTTATTCATTGAGATTTCTTGACTTTATCTGGCCTGCCAGACAATGCAGACCGCAACAAACATAAAACGCAAAACAAGAAGGACTTGTTTGAAGGACTCCATTTAGATTATGTAAAAAGATGCATAATGCACCACCTCCAACTGTTGGTTGTAAAAGTATTGGCTTCCTAGCTCATAGATAATCATTTCCATCATGATATTATACCAAGTATACAGGGATCATAATCAAAATAGGAAGAATAAAAATTTAAAGTACTGTATGAAAATATATAATCGGCAGGGGAGGGTTATAGAAATGCCCTCTTATTTTGAAAATGAAAATTCAGAGGTCTGCAATTTAATTTCAAGTATATTTCTTGCCCACTGCCAAGTAAGTTCAGAATACCTGTCCTACAATAAGGATATTTTTCTCCGCTGGGTCTGTGACATTAAAAAAAAAACGTTGGCACCTTGGAATGTACAAATTGGGGGGGAAAGGATCTGTCATCTTGTAGATAATACTGTGACAAATATATTATTAAACCTCTTGAAAATTCCCCTCCAAGAGTAATCAATTTTATCAAGAAGTCCCCTTCAAAATGTGATTAAAAAGGGGTATTTCTGTTTAAACAACAATATTTCTTCTTTTATGAAAATCACCCTAGAAAGATGGAAGAAGTAATCAAGGATTGGTGGCCTTTCTAGATGCATTCTATAACAAATACATACATTTCCTCTTATAAATCTTCCCCCAGTCTCACCACAAGAACAACCTCAACCAATAACTGACAAAATACAGTCAAACCTGTCTTAGTGGCCACCTATCTATGAAGGCCGCCTGTCTATAGGGGCCATGCATTTTGTCGACCTCGAGAAAAAATATTTGTTGTTGTACCTGTCTAGAAAGATCACCTGTCTACAGTGTCAACTTTCTGTTTTCCGTGGGTGGCCTCGATAGACAGGTTTGACTGTATTTGCCATTTAATAAGGTAATGTAGATCTTGTGCAGTCTGTTGTCGGTCTGGTGTTGGTTTGGTAGGACTGGGATGTGAGTGACCATTATAGGCAGGTGGCCTTTATTTATACACAGTTAGTCACTGAAGCAGCTTGAACTGTACTCCATAGCCTTCCCGATTTATTTGGAACACACAGCGCACTGCAGTTCATTGCCATCTACATACGGGCCACAAGGTAACCCTCCACCGGTTCCACACACTCCTTCCACAGGATAGAGAAGAGAGCTATTGCCGTCCTCGACCATGGTGCCAGGTCGAGACTCCGCTGCAATTGCAACGCAGGTGTAAGATGTTCGCACCTACAAGAAAAGTTGGCAGAGATCATAATACATGGTTGTTATAGTTATAGTCGAACCAGTATTCAGTTGAGTAACTGGGGGGTGGGGTGGGGTACATGTTGGATATGCCCCCCCCCCCCCCCCCCCCCCCTCTCCTGCCATACTTGATATTTTGATTTTTGTTTTGTGTGTTACTTTGAAAGTGCAGAATACCCCCAACCCAACCCCTCCAGCTCTCCAGCAAAGACATATGAATATATCCATCTGCCAATTATACCCCAGTTTCCATTATACTCCAGGTACACTGACATACTTATCCTTAACAACATACCAAATAAAAAAATTATCAAATTATCAAAACTCATATCATAGAGATATAACTCCATATCAGAGATCCTGGTGAAGACTAATTACGGTAAACAAAACAGTTATTTTAGACTTTTGTACCTGTTCAAATTAGATGTACTATTTGATATTTTGATGTTAAAGTTTCAACATTTTTATTTTTATCTCAAAATGTTGCTCCTTTGACCCCTAAATATGTGTAGATGTAAATGTGTCTTTTTTAACCCCATTTTTCCATATCACGATTTGACCATTTGTGTTAGTGATACAAGAAAGAATTAGTCAACGGTCATATCACGAGATTTTCATTTTTGAATGAAATGAATCGACACTGTCCGGAATCGCCCCGATATCAATCCCATGAATATATACTCACATTGTTATTCCTGCTGGACATGAGGATGCCACTGTATTCACGGGTCCAGTTGTCGGGGCAAGTAATCCTTCCAGGAATCATCAGAGTTGCTTGACGTCCTCCCCCAGTCATACAGGCAGCACAGGGGACATCCTACAGGAGGAGGGGGGGGGGAGATGTGGAGAAAGAATAGTTCGAAAATTTTACTCATGTGTTCATTTTTTTAATGAAATACAAGTTGAAACATCAACCACCTCCAGATTTCCTTAGAAAAGAGATCCTACCACTGTAATCCTCACCCTCCCAACTTCGTACATCTTCCTCTAATCAGACCAATTATAGCACTTCTGTAACTTTCACGTCCTTATATTTCACTTTGGATGTCATATGTATTGCTTTCCCTGCGCCACTTCTCACCCTCGCCACTTCTCACACCCTCAGAAAGAAATATTGGGCCAATGCCCATGGAGATCATAATTATTTGGTAGCCAAAGTTGTTGCCCTTCCTGTACTCCAGGCTGTAGAGCCCACCCTTTCTCACTCCTCATTGCCCCTCTTCCCAGAAAAAAGAATGATAGTTCCCATGTAACTCACATGCCCATGTAGGTCGGATTGGGTGCCAAAGTTGTTGCCGTTCCTGTACTCGAGACTGTAGATCTTTCCCCTGAAGTCCTGGCTGCCTCCTGTAGTCATGTCATACTCTGGATCGCTCACCATGCACAAGATGTTTCCTCCACCCCCTTTGTTTACTGACATGCTGCTGCCAGATGCTGCAAAACCTATACAACACCACCAGAAATAAAGTGGACATTTTATTTCAGTTCATTTTATCTATTTATTTTCAAGTCAAGACAAGAAAGAATATCACATAATCTTCTAAATACAAACATATTTAATAAAACATCTGAAGTGGGAGGATCATAAAAAACACCTAAATGCCTTGTTACTTAGTTAGTTCACAATTTAAATAAATTGGCATTGTATTTTTTGTAACTGTCACTACATTTTACTTTTATTTTGTCTGCATTAAAACCCAAAAAACAGCAAAGAATCCTTGATCCACCTGTTAATGGTATTGATGCCTACAGCAGTAATTGTTTCTGATCTCGTACTTATAATGCCAATGCAAGAATGTTCAGATTTCAACAAAAACGAACTAACGGACACAATTTATATTGACTCTTATTAATATTTTACATGTTATGCCCTCCCACTGGCACATTTTTTGGACAGCACAATAGTTTGTTATTAGGACATCATCACAAGTCTTCTTTGCCATCCCCTACCCCTTCACCCTACCCAATTTCGTGTAAATTTAAATTATTCTTTAAGTTGACTGAGTTTGTATGAAGTGGTTGGAGGAGGGCACAAGCCCCCTGTCCCCCTCTGCCCTGTATCGGCCACTGATAAAATCTCTTACATTATTTTCCAAGCTGATTCAATGGTGATATCCTCAAAACAACAAACAAAAACTTCAATACTTACCAGAATAAACCAAGCTGGATGTATCAGGGCAGTCCCCCACACCCCAGTGAAAGTAAACTGTTCCTGTAGCCGCCTTTACGGAAGCCTCCTCGGAGACAACATCGGCCCTCGGCGCCCCTTGAAACCTGGTACCTGGACCCTGAATTGGCAATGACAATGAAGACAACAATAAAAGGAAATGTATAGCGACAGCAGTAAATACATGTTTCTTTGATTAAGATAAGATTTCAACATTATACATCTGATTTCAAAGAAAGGAAGGGAAGTGGTATTTCTTTATCTGTCCATATCTGATGGATATGTTCACAGATGAAAGAAAGATAAGGAAATGACTTTGAACTATGTGTGTTTTCTCTGTGTGTGTGTTGGGGGGGGGGTCTCTCTCTCTCTCTCTCTCTCTCTCTCTCTCTCTCTCTTTCTCTCACATGTATTAGTAACATTTTGGTTAACGTTTGGTCGACGTTCTTTTTTTAATTTACATACAAATATGTCCATTCGGTCTATATTTTGAATAACTTGAATAAGTTCGGCTTAAGTCGATTTTTTTTTTCTTCTTCTGTATGTTCATAAATATGCAAGGACAGCGCCGTCAGGCGAACTTCTAAGCTGCTTCATTTTTAATTTTAAGCTCGAAGAAATTGACATTGACAGGTTTATCGTTGGATGAATTTAGAATGGTTTCCAACCTCGATTGAAAAAAAGACCTCTATGAAAATCAATCCACGGAAGTAACGGAAATTTTACTGAATATCTTGTTGGCGCGCCAACAATTGACTTACATGGGACATAATACCCAAAGTGTACTAGTCATGAACGGGGCAAAAATAATAACAATATTAAGGGGAGTCGCTCAATTCGT